CTCACCCCATCGCGGCCACTCCTCGCAGATTCCCAGCAAGATGCTCCGTCTCGGCATGAACATGGGAAAAAAAACAATGGCAAAGCATGATTCCTTGGCTTGTGTTGTACTTGAAATTGCTTCAGGACAGGACAGACGAATACAAGGAAAATTCATTATCAGAAGAAGCGTACAAATCCTCAAATATTTGGTAACTCAAGATCAAGGGGGAGACAATATGGCTAAAATGTGTACACCAACTAATGAGACAAATATGTTGATAATTTTAAGTTTATGACTCAAAAATAACCGAAAACTGACCAAAATCTAACTCACAACTCTAAAACTGAGCTTTTCATGCATTTTTTAATGATTTTCTTCCTCTAATTGCTCTGTGCTCTGAGTTTTTATTTTAATAAATTCTTTAACAAGAATCTGTCTAATTCCAAATCGCAGCTGTTAAGTTCAAAAGATTAGGTTATGTTGCACTCTAACACTTCAAAATCTGCCTGATTCTTCTAGAACTTGAAGTTTTTAAACTGTTTTCACATTATTTCCCAAATTATAATGAATCTTTCAAGTTTCCATCCGATATTTCTGCAAAAATCGACTTAACAACGCATTTTTGGACATCTTTCCAGACCATAACCTCAAAATATAACTAAAATATCTTCAAAAATTCAGTTTCAAAGCATTCTAGATTGCAAAATTAACCCAAAACTGCTGTTTGAGAGTCAAAATTGCGCAAAAAGTTTACAAAAATGCATATTTTCCGAGTCCAAATGACTATTTTTGAGGATATGTTCGAGTTCAATACATTTTGCTGTGTTTCTTGGCATCAACATGCCTAATTGTGCCAATGATTAGCAATCTTGACGACTTTAGTCCAAGAATTGATGGTTAAGAGTGCAAAATATTCACAAAATCTGCCCGTGATTCGTTACATAACCTAAAAAAAGGTTTTTTTAAATTGATTCTGCGTGAAAATTGAAGGGAATCCAAGGAATTGTCATAATTTATCAGTAAAATAAGCACTCAGGAATGGAATATTGTAAGTTTTTCAACACTTCCACTTCTTAGGTACTTCCGCTGAGCCGTACACCACTTCTGAGCACATTATCTTCCCCTTGCTCAAAACTAAAACGTCAAAACATGGTTCAAAATGTGAATTGATTCGCATATTCATTATTTACTCTGCCTTTGACTTGAAGTATTCTCTGATTGATTGCATTATTACTCCTTTCGCGCGGGATCTTCTCACGAGTTTCGAGGGAAGACGTCTTCGGGAATGAGTGAGAAAGTTCAACAGTATAGCTTCGGCGCACAATCTTTTCTTTTTTATTCCTGCGGGGTGTTCTTGTTATGAAACGAGGGTGGATTATCAAATGCTCCTGTATTGGGAGAGAGAGAGGAGGCCAAGTATTGGAGTGGAACAACCTCTGAGTGATTTTTAATGAATTTTCCCACAGTGGCGAAATTTGCGATAGAAATATATATTTATAGAGAGAGAGAGAGAAAAATTTCAATCAGCGAGTCTTTGATAATGGAATTTAATTGAAAAGCCCACCGACAAAGTGGATTAATGAGATGAAAATATTTTTTGGGCCAAAAACCATCCAGGGAGATTTAAGCGCGTTTGTCTGCCGACGCGCGAGGGTGGGATTTTCCGGCGAGGGAGAAGATTTTCACTTGGCAAAGTTCAAATTCCACAATGAAGGCTTGCCGAGGGAGAGAGAGAGAGCGAGAGAGAGAGAGGCGTATAGAGTTCAATGAACCTCTGGGGAAAAGTGTGGTTCTCGTTGCGATTTAAAAATTTCTCCAAGGGCTTATTTAGAGTTGGAATTGTGGCAAAAATGTGGCAGTTCTTGTTGTTAATTAATTTGAAATCTTTTCCATTCGCACTGGATTTTTTCTCTCTGCTTCTTTTCATCATATTAACACCAAAGACACTCCATTTCTCGCCACCTCAACGCGGGCAAATGAGGAATTTGCACGAATTTCACATGATTGAATAGAATGGGAGCAATTTTCTCACTACGCCGAGGCAGAGTGGAGAAATGAAAATTACCTGAAATGTGAAACCGGGCAAAACTGAACTGTTGACTGTGTGTATTTTATTAATAAAGAGGGAGAGAAAGAGCGAGAGAATTAAAGGTGAACAACTCACGAATGCTCTATTCTCACGAGGTCAAGTGAAAAGTTCAAGGCAGTTAAAGCCTTGAAGTGCTTAGTTTCTCACGTCGGAAAGCATTTCACCCCCGCAAACAACGCATTTCCCCCCTTCTTGACCAACTGCAAAGTCGGCGGGAGGGTGAAAATAGGAAGACTGTCGATGGTCAATTTGCGCTGTTTTGCATATGAAAATTCCCAAACCAAGTGTGCTTATTAATAAAGCATTGCGTAAATAGTCGTGCGCGTACAGAAACTTGCTTATCTTTTCACTCATTTGTGGTTGAAAATTTCGCAAATGCGGCAAAATGTATAAGAATAAATTCACTCACGATTTCAGATCATTAATTTTGCAATTATTTATTCATGCATTTCACAAAATAAATCAAATTTGGGTGCTTTAAACGCCTCTAAATAATCTGAAATACAATCTAAACGTCTTCATGCATTTCAAACTTGATCTTCTAATTAGCTAATGACGAAATCAGGCTTTTTCCGAGCGAAAAGCTTCATTTTTGCGCTCAAAATTCTTCTTATCCTGATCAAGATTACGCCAGGAAGTCATAAAGTGTGAGAATGCTTAAGAATGTGTGAAAAAAGAGTGAAAATTATGCGAAAAATGATAAATTTAATATTATTAGCGTCCCCCACGCCGACTTTGCTGCCCTCCGGCGGCGATATGTAGGGAAAATAATCAAATTTTCAATTTTTGATTAAAATTTTGATTATTTGATTTTTTCATGCAATTCGCATCAGCGTAATTAATCAGCACGAAAGTATTATTGCGATATTCGCATTTGAATGATTGGAGAAATAATGAATAATCCTCAATAGTTGATTCACTGCAAACAAGAGAACATTTAGCGTGTTCGAGAGTAGATTAATGATGCAACAAAGGTGAAACTTGTCGATCTTGATAGCAATCTTGAGCGTGATTGAATAATTTTCTTTTTTATTGCGTTGAAATTGAGATTTTTTTGCTTGGACACAAGCTAGAGATTTTGTAGCACAGTTTAGGAGTGGGAAAATGGAGAGAGATTGGTAGTGTTTAACCCCTTGTTGTGGTTGTTGAACGTGTGATTGATTGACCAGCTGAGTGTGTGTTTTCCTCCCTGTTGGAAAATGGCACACAAACCACCCACAGTCTCATGCGAATTAATGACGTGTGAGACAGGAGAAGAAGAAGAAGGGAAAAAACCACCCCAGAAGGTTTAGCGTGAAGGCTGTTCGTTGAACTCCGCGAGTGCGAAATGGGGTGACCGCAAAACGGAGGGTAAAACTGCGTTGAGACTCACCTTGAGCGCTCGCGGATTCTCCAGATCCATCGTCTGCCAATGGGGCTTCGCCGCCTTGCGGAACACCACGTTGTCGCGCGTCTGGGACGAGTAGACGATGAAGCCGCCCAAGCCGACGAACGTGCCGCTAATCAGGGCGACCAGGGGGATGACCTGAAAGGAGAAATTTCCGTTTGATGAGACGACTGATTTTCCGATCAGACACGTCTTTAGCATTCAATGCTGACGTCGTCTTTAGGCAAATCCATTTCAGGTATCTCTTAAAGTGAACGTGACTAGTAACTTAAATTCCGACGCGAATTGAAAAGCGCGATGAGTTGTGAGTGGATGTAAGGAGAAATACTTGAGAAAATCCGCAGATAAGATGTCGATCGAGATATTATATTAATTAATCATTAGCGTCATATTTCAACTTTACTTCGGCACAGACATATTAATAAAGAAGAAGAAGAAGCAGACTTAACCCAGATTTCCAAAGTCGTGTTTCAAATCGAAAAGAGTAGAAATTGGCTCACTAAAATGGGATTTAATACCTTAAAAGAGCACAAAACGTTCAAATTTAATGACCGAAACTCGATTCCTCGATATATCAATTGATTTGAACGAAATTTTCCCTGTTTTCATGGTTTTCAGTCTCTTAGAGGACAATAAACACCTGAAAGTATTTGTTTATTACCTCTAAATGCTTTTAAACACAAGAATCTTTAATTTTCCTGTGCAAAATGTGTCTGAAAAACGCTCGAAGAAATACTTTATTTTGTCACTGTTCGTGATTCCGGAAAGAAAATCTACTTTCCTCACTTTTTCTGTAGAACAAAAGCTGGTTCGCATTTCTAATAGAATGTAAGATAATCTCTATTAAAGAGCGACTTTACGCTGCAAAGATATTGATTCCAGTGATCCCTGTTTTCCCGGACCAGGAAGCAAATTTTTCGTCAGAGTCGAAATTTTGATATCAATTTGATCTTTTGAGGTCATTTGTAGCATTCAAAAGATAGGAAATATTCTCTAGTTGTTTATTTTAGCGACCAGGATAGAATTTGAGGCTCTAATTTTGCTTTCCGAAGGCAAAATTTCCAAAATTTGACATGAAAGGCCGTTGAAAACATAACCTTTTCGATCTTATCGATCGAAATATCGGTAAGTTGGTAAACTTATCGACACCCATCGCCGCAAAATGCATTAAATCTTCTTTTTAACACTGTTTTTGGGGAAAAATAGGACCAATCTACACTGATTAGTTCTTTTATTGTCAATTTTAACTATTTTCTCCTCTAAAATTGTGTTAACATTGGGTTAAAATGCATTGTCGACAGCTCAATTGTCGATAACTCAATTGTCAATAGCTTAATTGTCGATAACTTTAGCCGATATGACGCTGAGGACGCTTAATCTCTTCTCAATCTTCAAAGGTGAAAGTCAAGTTCGGACTCAATCTCAGCAATCTGTGCAATTGTCTCAGTTTCTGTCTTGGATTCAATGAAATCAGTTCACACAGTTTTCAGTGCAGACAAAACCACGCGATATTAATTGGCAAAAAATGTCTTTTCTCCGCAGTGCGGGCCTTGAGTCGAAGCCCCTCATCGATCACGACCTGCAAAATGCCTTGATTGCCATCAATCCGATGAATGGGACGCCCGTGAATGGAACCACGATCAATGGCAACACAAATTCACACTCGAGCTCATCGGGCAGATCGACGCCCAACCAGGGCACAGATCCTGCCCCGGGGAAGCTGTTCGTGGGCGGGCTGAGTTGGCAGACGAGCGCGGACAAGCTGAAGGAGTACTTTGGCATGTTCGGCACGGTGACAGACGTGCTCATCATGAAGGATCCGGTCACGCAGGTGAGTTGAGGGATTGATTCCCGGGGAATGTTGGCTTCTCACGATTGACTTGCGTTTTCAGCGGAGTCGCGGCTTCGGCTTCATCACATTCTCCGATCCCGCGAGCGTGGAGAAGGTGCTGAAGGTGCCGATTCACACGCTGGACGGCAAGAAGATCGACCCGAAGCACGCCACGCCGAAGAACCGGCCGAAGCAGGCCAACAAGACGAAGAAGATCTTCGTGGGCGGCGTGAGTCAGGACACCTCGGCGGACGAAGTGAAGGGATACTTCAGTCAATTCGGGAAGGTGGAGGAGACGGTGATGCTCATGGACCAGCAGACGAAGCGCCATCGCGGCTTCGGCTTCGTGACATTCGAGAATGAGGACGTGGTGGATCGCGTGTGCGAGATCCACTTTCACACCATCAAGAACAAGAAGGTGGAGTGCAAGAAGGCGCAGCCCAAGGAGGCCGTCACGCCGGCGGCGCAGCTGCTGCAGAAAAGACTGATGCTGGGCGGTTTGGGTGTGAGGATGGCGGCTCCGGCGCCCATGGTTGGCCCCGCCGGCACAGTGGCGGCCGCCAATCCACTCGCCATGGTACAGGCTCAGGCTCAGGCGGCCCAAGCGGCCGCCGCCGCACTTCAAGTACAAAATGCAGCAGCCGCCGGCTTCGGAAAAGTCTTCACAACATATCCACCGACTCTTCATAGTTTTAGGTATGAAATGAGGTAGTCCGGGGGGTGAAATGGTCTTTCTCTCTGTTATCTAGCTGGGATTTGCATCACAGTTAGTTTCTCCGCCATTTTGAACACCCACAAAACACGTTTTGCTCATTTGTTCAGCCCTTAAGGCATGAATCGGGCCCAAATTCCGGTATTTTATAGCTGACCTCAAGACCTTTCCAACGAACCGCCGCTCAAGGAATTAGGATCATATTCATTATTAGTATGAGACGTCATAACGAATGGCGCCATATTGAGACACCTTTGAACGCTTGTATCTCGGCAATTAAACCATGGATTTTCTTTCAATTTCAGTATGTTGTAGTCCAGGTTAGGACGTCTCTAAAAGTAGGTTTTAGTTTTTTGTGGATGCAATAGAATCGGAGTTATGACGGTTTAAAGTTTGTATTTTAAATACGCTATAACTTCGGTTCTATTTATCCGATCATTACGATTTTAGACTGATTGGAAAGCTCTTGGAAAATTAGAAACGATTTAGAACAACAGAGGCGCTAATGTCAATAACAAAATTTCTTAAGTTTATCGATAGTCCAGATCGAGACATTTCCAAAATGGGGTTAAACCAAGGGTTACTCAAGTGGGAGAAAAGTGGTTTTCATTCCACAAATTTCCATAATATTCCGAAATCCACTAGTTAGAAAGATATGTAGAAATTCTAGCGCAAATCTTCCATATAAGATAATTTAGCACAAGATCGTGAAGTGTCGCGGGTTCGATTCTCCTTCAATTCGCTTTTTTCACTTCTCTTGCCTTTTTCGTGTATTTTCTTTCATTTTCTCCCGTTTTAATCGACATTTTTCCCTCAATTTCTTCAAGAATTGTCTCTAATAACGCCATCTGACGCCCGAAATTGCTTTTATCTCACTAAGTTTTTACTCCAAAATTCCTTTTAACGCTTTAATGTCAATTTTTCGGGATTGAAACTATTCTAAATGTTGTTAATGCTATAAAAACTTTGAAAGTTATTAGGAAGTCAAAGAGAAGAGTTTTGCAAATGGAAGGAAAATGGCGCGAAAATGCGATATTTGTAGTTTCCCAAACAAGTATAGTAGAAAATCTACAAATTTACAACATATTTCGCGTATTTCTTGGGTTTTTGATGTTGAATTTGATCAAGAATTTGATCCATTCCTGTCATTCCTTGCTATTCCTGCTGAAGTGTGGTTCGTCCATTCTTCAACTTGAGCAACCTTCGGGTTAAACTTGTCTGTTGAGGCCGTAGAATCTTAGTTACAACAATCTAAAGTGACTGAACTGTTTTTCAGATATGCGCCGTATCCTATTCCCGCCGGAGCTGCCGCTGCCGCCGCCCACGCGGCGTCCGCTCCACAGCCCCAACCCCAACCCGCCGCGGCTCCCACGCCGACCACAGCGGCGGCCGCGCTCGCAGCCGCGCCAGTGGCGCCCGGAAACCCTTATCAGGGCTACAGTCTCACGAATGTGGACATGTCAAGCTTCCAGGGCGTCGACTGGGGCTCAATGTACGGCATGGGCATGTATGTCTAGAGCGCTCCTGCACAGTCACTGTGAGGCTCTGCGAGACGATAATTGCTGTAGATTCTGTTGTGGACGATCGAAAGAGGGAGAGAAAGAAGGAGAGAAAATTGAGCAGAAGACGATTTGATGATCAAGTGTGGGCGAAGACAGCGGAATCTTCGCGAGGAGGATGTGAACCAACGGAAGAAGGAGAAGAAGAGCGAATTGGCGCGATGGAAGCGAGTACTTTTTCAGAGAGGGAGAGAAAGAGAGATTTTCAGAAGATGTGACATCAAGAGGTATCAGTAGATATTAAACACAACCCAAAAACCACGAAAGGAGACAAAAGTAGTTAGTGAATAACTAAAAAAATGAATTGACACAAACACACACAGAGTTAATTGATGGACAAGCAGAGAAAAGAGGACGGCAAACGGATTTTTAACGACTAATTCTCTTTTAGACGCCAAGCAAGAAACCAACCTTCTTTATCTTTTTCTTATTTTTCTTCTTCATTTTCAAATCCAGAGTGAGGAGAAGGAGAAGGAGAAGAGAGAGTGAGAGAGAAGATAGAGATATTTGATGGGAAGGAAGGAAGGAAGGAAGAAGCGTGAAGATGTTGGAAAAAAAGCCACAAGAACAACCCACCAAGCAAACAAAAACAAACAAAAAAAAACACAGAAAATAGTTACAAGGAAAATTTTTACAAGAAGACATTTGAAGAGATGATGATGATGAAGATGATGAAGGAAAAAAAGCCATTTCCGATGAGTATAAAAAACAACAACCAAACCAATCAACAAAAAATTTTACCCTCAGAACAATATATATCTAAATTTTGTCTTTTAGTGGAAAATATTTAAAAAATAGATTCGCAGAAGTATTAAAAAATTAGATTAGAGAGAATGTATGAAAAAAAATTTGGTTTCATCGTAATTTCTTTTATAACCACATAATTCTCTTATACATTTTTGCAAAATGTAACCACAAATACTAGATATATATATATACGTAAATATCTCTTTCGAATCTGTTGAGATTTATGTGTTTTTGCAATAATTTATGTTTCTTCTCCCCAATTCTTATTTGAATTAACATGTTTTATGTTGATCGTTCTTTATCACTAACACCTGAACTTCCTCTTTAGTGGTTCTTTGAAATCTTCATTATTGTATTAGATTAATTTTATTTTTGTGGAAATTAGGCAGAAAAAATTGAATTGTTTCACAATCTGTGTAAGTTTCGTTTTGATAAACTCTAGATTTATTATTGGAAACAGATTCCTTGAATTTTTCTTTAGAAAATGCAGATTTATCTGGAATAATATTTCTCTTATTAACCAATTTTATAGTTTTCATGCAGAAGAGATAATAATATTGGAGAAATGATAAATAAATAGATTCTGTTCAATATTAGTAAAAACTTTTGATAAATTTTTTAGTATTTTAACACATCTTTTACTTGTATTTTCTGTTAGTTTTCTGTTCATTCAAAGTATTTGAGAATTTTTGCAGAAGTAAAATCTCTATTTCTATACTCAAAAAAGCAACATTTCGCAATAGATTTTTCTCAGAATCTTATAAATGATAAAACATATAATTAATCCCTATCATATATATTGAAAATGAAAAAAAACATAGTTTGGCAATTTGTAATAGATTTTCCTCTTAGATCAGATCCTTTAAATAGAAATTCTTGGTCTTGATTTTGTGTTTGGAAGATCTCAACAATTAGGAATTAGCCAGAAAAAAAAGAAAAATCTAAACATCATCATACAGTATTATTAAAGAAAATATATGAAAGTAAATATATTTAATTGTAATAACTGTGGTGCCTAAGAAATTCTCAAAGAAAAAATCAGTATAAAGATGATTTGATTCGAAGATTTTATGTGTGAATCAAAACATTAAATACACTGAAAAACTCATTTTTCCGTTAATGGTTAGTTTCTTGCCTCCTTTTTCAGTTCAATCAACAATCTTACAAAGCTTTTATCAGTATTTCAAAATAACGGAGCGATTCTGAGTCACACAAGAGATGTTAAAAGTGTGTTGATGATTTAACACACTTCTTTGCTATTCTGAGTTACAAATGTAAGGCTCAAAATGACGACAAAAATCATTTTCATTCGCCTGAAAGTGTAATTTTAACACAATTTCTAGAAGTTGTTTCACTGAATGTGTTAAAAAGCAGAATAACAGATCGGAAATCTGCAAATATCTTGCAAAAACGGATCAATCCGCAATTTTAACTCTCATTTTCAGGCTTAAACTTAAGAGATATTTGCAGTAAATTCTTTTTATCGTGGATTTACTAAATATTTACTTAAATTTTAATAATTTAGACAAATTTCACAATTTTTCCTCTCTTACGCATTCTGTAATCGCTTAAAACTCTAAAGCATTGTTTTAGCGAGAATATCAAGAGATGTTTTTCCTTATTCTTCGCGAATGTTGAACTTTACATGTTTGATATTTAACATATCTTTGTGTGACTGAGCATTGCTCCATAAGTTTTTTTTCCATTACACATAAATCAAGTTTTTAGACAGTCTTTATTTAAGAAGAAAACAGATTTACAGACATTTATCGTGGCGCAACTATTTTTTCACGCTGGAATTCTTTTCATCCAGTGGAAAAAGTAAAGATAATTCTAAAGAAAGAGGAAAGAAATTAGTAAACTTTGACTTTTTGAGTAAAGAAGTTGAATTGAAAGAATTCTACCGGTTTCACGTAGATTTAAAAAAAAATATACTCCTGATCGTCGCAAGGATACCGAAATATGACGAAAGAAAGAAGAAAAAAAACACAATTTTATTCAATTCTCAAAGGTAAATTCCACTAAATTGATGATTGGTTCGTAAAATATCCAACACGCCATTGTGAAGCGCTTCACGTTGGGAAGGTGACAAACAGAAGAGAAGAGAAAGAGAAGAAAATAAGTGATCGCAAATTGAATTTAGCGAATAGAGAAGGACATTAAGATGCTGTTTCAATTTTCAAAAAAAGAATGAAGAAAGAAGAAAAGAATATTCTCAGATTTGAGGAAAAAAAAGAATGGAACTTAATAGTTTTTAAGCAATATATCTCGCAATAAGCAGTATTATATATTTTTTGAGAAAATAATAAGGAAAGAAAAATCTTTAACATTTCATTGGTAATTTGAAGGAAATAAGATTAAAAAAAAACATGGTGGATTCTGAGGAACTTTTTAAGTATGATGATGAATTCGGAAGTTTTTTTTTTTTAGAAGTAGAAATCTGGTGACATGAAATTCCCATCTAGTTTTTTTGCACCTGTCTTAGACGTTTTTATTTCTTTCAATGGTTTTTTTTGAGTAACAAAAAGCATTTCATAACATTTCTTTTGAAAATAGTTTTCTTCCTACGTTTTTCCTCCCTTTTAAGCGTTTTTTGGCAAATTAGAAAAAAAAACAATTAAAAGCAAGTCATAAACTTGATGATAGAAATGCGAATCCTTACATATAAATATATCTGTAATAGATAGAAAGAACAAAACGCATGTCATATAAAATCTTATTTCATAGAAATTGTCTTTAATTTCTCTTTTTTTTGGAAATGATATTTTCAAATAATAATAAAGAAAAAAAAAAATACGCGAAAGCAAGTGAAAAGCAAATGTTTTGAAAGAAAAAAAAATTAGATAAAATATATTTGAAATTTTTGAACTATTTGAATTGATAAGCAAGAAAAAAAAATCTGAATATTGAAATTACTCAAAGTCAAGTAATAAGAAAAAAATGCAAAGAGAAAAGGAGATAATTTTGAGAGTTATTGATGAAGAAGAAGAAAAAAAAACGCTTGTGAAAAAAACCTTATTGTAATTAATAATAAAAAGAAACAAAGCTTAGTGATTAGCTTTTTCTGGTTGTTACAAAAATAATTTTTACATTTAAAAAAACCAATTTCCCACGTTTGATGCTTATTATTTCATTCCTTAAAAAATAGAGAAAAACTATTTGTACAAGAAAAAGTATTTTTTCTATGCTTTCTTTTTGATTTTTCTTGTTTTTTTCCTTCTAAATATTAAGGAGCGCCAAATGCTCTATTTTTTCCAATATCTATTCAACTAAATTATTGTCGGTTTGTAAGCGATAAAAAATCCCCTTTTTTCAATGTCCCTGAAATTTCCTTTCTTGTAGTTTTTCATGGTTCACTGAGACAGAACGTAAGAAATAGTTTGTCAATAATTATGTTTAAGGTGCCTTAAATAGATTTATATTCTGGTACATTTTTTTTTCGGTGAAAAATCACAAGATCACCATTAAATTTAGTTGTTTTTTTTATTCAGAAAGATTTGCTTCTTCTCTGTATTTTTGATCAGATTTTATTCAAAAGATATCCAAAAAAAAACAATATTTTTTTGGGTAAGAATAAATCCGGAAAATAAAAGTCGTATTTTGGAATTGTTTTTTTTGTGGTAAAACTTTCTGATTTTGTCTTAGTGAAAGCGTAAAGCTTATCGTCCTTTCCTTGCTGCAATATCAATACAATATCTTGGGTTCTGTTGATTGATTGATTCTGAACGAGAAATGCAATACAAAATCGAATATATATAATTAGAGATATGAGTTTGTATTTTGTTCAATATAAATATTGCAATGTATTTTTATTTCTCTTCTTAAACATTTGAATATTTGTGTATCTTTTAACGTTAGTTACATATATATATATATATATATTTACTACAGCGAGAAATAATAATTGTTTATTCGTATTCTTATTCTTTTTTTTGTTAGTGATTAGACAGCGTCTGTAATTAAAATGATATATTTGAAAGAAGCATTAGATTAATTAATATATTGACAAGTTTAGAAGTAGTTTTTATTTTTTTTCTGTATATATACAAACATATGAAAAAAAGCAATTGAGTGGAATGATTTTTTATTTGATTAACAATTTTATTTTCTGTTTTTTTTTAAGGCTAACGTAGAAATTTTTGTGTTGGATCGAGAGTTTTTGGGCATTTGAGTAATTTGTCAATTTATCGTAATATGTGTTTATTTATTCTTTATAAATTATTACGCAAACATTTAATAATATTTTAGGAGTGAAATTTGAATTAATTTGAAAGAAAATGAAGTAATTTCCAACACACATATCGAAGATAAACAAAAAAAAAACTGATGAAATTTTAGATAAAAGAAAGCTTTTTATGACATCTTCAAAAATAATCAACAACGTCTGTGAAATTCATCATATCATTATGAAGTTAAAGAATAAAAAAACCTTTTGATGCTCTTGAAATTACTTGAAAATAAAATTAGCTTCGAAAAATTAGTTTTGAAAATTTCCTATTCTTTTTTTTCAATTTCTATAAAAGTAAAAGTAAAAAAAAACATAAAATCTTGACAATAAATAAGCAATAAATGAGAGATAAGGAAAAATAAAAATGAATAAATAAAGGACGTTTTTTATAATAAAGAAAGAGAGAATAAATTCGTGAAATATGAAGTCTGTTAATACGTTTGTAGGAAGAATGAAAGCATAGAATTTCTCTCTTTTTTTTCTTTGATAAAAGAGAAAATCAAGTTTTCACGTGTTTTTGATACTAACATATTTCTTAACATATTTCTGATTTCACACAAAAAGAAAAGTAACAATTATAAATTAAGGGAAAGAAACTCTCGGAAAATTTATTCGAATTGACAGTTTTTTTATATAAAGAAAAGAAAACAATTGGAATCTCAAATCAAAGATTTGATTAAAACAAGAAATGAAAAGAAAAAATGTAGTAAATATATTGAATAAGAGTACAAACTTATATCTCTAAAGCGCGATGAAGATTTTTGCAAAAGAAAAAAAAACCTCAGCAATTTTATGGAGACCAAGAAATAATATATTCATTATTTAATTCCACGTCCCATTTTTACCTCCCCTCGAAAGAAAAAAGAAACCAATTCTTTTGTGTCATAATAAGACACTTGACGTTTTTACAAGAAAGTAAAAAAGTGTTACTAGAGGACCAAAAAAAAACCAATTAACCTAATATTTTTAACAAAGATTATGATATTAAAAAAAAATCCTGAAGCTTCCAAGACTTTTCTTTAGAGTCTACAAAGAAATTTGTAATTTATCTTGTAATCTATGTTGAAATTTAGATCAGTTGACAAAAAGAAAAAAGGAAGAATTTCTGGGTGTAATTTGTAGACTTTTTTTTCTTAATGACATCAGAAATAGTTGAATATATAATTTCTGTGTAGAGCTTTTGGCACTTCTTAAATTGTGCTTAATTTTGGAACTTTTATATTCTCTCCTTTTGTGTTGGACTTCTTTTTCCCAAGTTTTAATCTTCACTTTTCTATAGACAGGAAATAAAAGTCTTAAAAATATGTATGAAAATGAATTTATGTTGCCTTTTTGAAAAGCTATCAAACTGATAATTATTATTATTAAAAACTGTGGCAAGGATCTGTTAAAGGATCAGAAAGTGAAAATTATACACTTAGAATTTCGCTGTAGTTTTTAGTCAAGTAAAAATTAATCCTTCGCACTTATTTTTCTTTCCTACATTTTTTTCTAAGTATTTTTAATTAGTTTCTAAATAAAAAAAAACAAATCAAGTATTAGTGACGAGATGGAAAATGGTTTTTCTTCACGGTTTTAAAAGGGAAAAGCCAGGCTAATTGTGTAGAGATTATTCTCTGACAGAGGATAAAAAAGAAAGGAAAAAAGTAGGAGAAGAAAGATAATAAAAAAGCGAATTTTTACAGATATATAAAAAGTAAGAAAAGTGAACCTCAAATTTCCTATTAGCAGTATAAATAATGAAAAATTTCTTTAAATATTATGTGTTAAAAATGTTTATTTTTTAATTTATTTTACTGCAAAACATAAAATATCATAGAATTGTGAATTTTTTTTTTGCAATTGATCTGTGAGAAGTTACAATTTATCAAAATTGCCATTTACGTTCATTTGAATGAAAAACTAGGTTTTAGAAAGTGAAATTTTGAAAAGAATGAATAAATATAATGGAGTAAAATATGCTTTGTGGACATATTAAAAGTGTCTTGAATTTTGCCGATAATCTTGCAAGAAATCATTTGGTTTAATTATTATTTTTAAAAAAAATTTTTACACGGTTTTAAAGGAACAAAATCTTGCCGATTTAATTATCTCAAAACATAATATAATATTTTTTTCCCCCTCTATAATAATGAATTTGACTGAGATGAAACAGAAATATTTCTTTTTAATCTTTTATATTTTGTGTTTTCATGAGTGAGTAAATTTTAAGTGAAGTTGAGATCTTTCGTAAATCGAAAGTGGGTAAATTTAAGTGCAGCTCAATGATGGAGACTTTTTTTTGGCTTAGATTTAATATTTAGTAATTAGTTTTGAATTTGTCTTTCTTACTTTTTAATCAAAACCTGAAAGTGGCTTTTAACAGTTGCTATTCAATCTCTTAATAAGTATTATTAGTTTCTAAGTTTGGCATTAGTTTTTTTTTTTCTTTGTCTTATCTTAAGATCTTGTCCCAACGATTATTTTTAGATTTATATGTTTTTCTTTCTTCTTAATATACTTTAGAGACGTAAAAATATACGTATATTTGTGAGAATTCTGTAGTACTTAAATATTTTTCTTTATTTGTATTTTAATTCCATTAGTTTAAGCACAAGAATCGTATAGACTTAATTTTTAATTCACTCTGTTGAACTCTTAACATAATAATAATAATAATAAAAACATTTTCACCAAGTAATAAAATGCAAGAAATACAATTCTTGATTTTCAATGTAAATATTTAATAATTATATTTACACTCTAAGTATTTTTCTGTATTTGTAATAATTTAGGTTTTTTCCTTCTTGAATAGCTTCTGCTGAGTAGAATATAAGTAAATTATAGTTCTTTTTTGTTCTTTGGCAAAATGGATAAAGGCGTAATTTTGTGAAATTAATAAATTGAAGCGCACTTTTAGATAAAGTTGCACTAAAATCATATTTTTACATGAAAATTATTATTTGCACGTTTTAATACGTATTTAATAACGAATGCCTAATTTTTTATTTATTTATTCTCCTCTTATTTTACAACCTCTCTTAAACATACTCTTTCCCAACACACTTTTCTCTGTCCTTCAATGCGTTTTTTTCCTCCTTTAATGCTAGACAAGAGACAACAAAATCTACTCCCGAAACATCCAAGAATTTAAAAATACCCCGAAAGGATTAAGAAAAGTGTTCATTTGGAAATTTCCACATGAAAAATCATGTCTTTTTTTGCTGTTGAAAACTCTAATTAGAATCGACTAGTAATAAATAATATTGTTGTTGTGTGACGTTTCATGATATGAATTTGCTAACTATAAAGAAGAAGAAAAAATATGAGAGAAAAGAAAAGAAGAAAATAAATGGCGAAAATAGTAAATAAAAAGAAAGTGAGTGAAATGTGGATGAAATAAATATTGCTTTGAGTGTAAGATAAAGTAATAAAAACGATGAAAAAAATATATATAAATATATTTCACCCTAAAAAAAAAGCAAAAAGAAATAATTATTACTGTGAAGCTTTTTATCACAAAAAGTGAAATTTTATACACCAGTTTTTCTGCATGTCTTTGTCAATAGATTTTTATTCTTAACTAAAAACTCTCCGCGAAAAGAAAAAGAATCACACACCGTTATTATATGGCATTTTCTCTCTCTTATCACCCCCTTTTCAACAAAAAAAAAATCCCCTCGTTCAACTGTAATTCGTGACTGTATAGAAAGAGTTTTTATAAACATCTTTGGAGAGGTTTTTGGAAGAAAAAAAGAAGACATGAAGTTTTTCAATTGAACACTTTTCTTGCAAAAGAAGATTTCAAAAAAAAAGTGAGGCAAAGCTTCTGAAAGAAAAGGAGTTTTTGCGATACTTTTCTTTTCCACCCCCTAAAAAAAATATATGATTTTCTTTGTCAATCAAAACAAATATTTTTGAATAAACAATATTTTTTTTCTCTTCTTAAGTCGAACAACATAATGAGACAATACTCTTATTCGTAAATGAAAGATAATTTAAAAGATGAAAGTATAATAAAGTGAAATAAAAAAGAGATAAATATATCCTGAGAGCAATAAATGTAATTAAAAGATGAAGAGAAAAGAAAAACCTTTTAAAATAAGCTTATAGAAGAGGAAAGTGAAACATGAAAAAAAGAATATCTTTCATCAATAAGAATGATATAAATGAAATTAAATAAGAGTGACACCTTTTTTTGTAATAAATAACAATTTAAAAAAATAAAAAGTGAGAAAAATATTGAATTTGACGAGAGAGAGAGAGAGAGAAAAAAAAGAACACAATATACGAGAAGCGTTTAAAAATAAAAAAAGGTTCCTCTATTTTTGTATTTCCATTATAAAAAGAAAAATCAATATAGTAAAAAAAAAAAGAAGAATAAAGTGAGGTATATAAAATGTAAATTAAAAATAAATAATTATTGATTATTATATACAAAAGAAAAAAAAAACACTTAATCTTATTGACTAAAATATGATTCTAAAGGATTTAAACAACAACAACAAAGAAAATCTCAAACTTGCAGTATAAAAAAATCAAGTATCAAATTTCTACATGAAAAAAATCTTTCATTAAAAAAATCACCTTTAAAAAAAGTATATATATATATATTTAGCATCTCACAGAACATTAAAAGAAAAAAAAAAACTTATTGTACATTTTTCGGAAATATTTGCATTATAGAGAGAGAAAGAAAGAAAGAGAGAAAAAAAGGAAACCAGTTTTGATTCGATAAAGGGAAAAAAAAGCATTTAAAAAGTCCCTTTTCGCGATGAAAGTTGACACAAAAAAAAAATAGAAATAATCAATTAAAAATGTATCTTTCATTTTCTAGCATTGTAATTCTACTCCCTTTTCTTTACTCTTTTATCCGCCTTCATTTCTCCACTTTGTGCATTTTCTTATCCCACAAGCTCTTATCCACACACAAACACACACTTAAATCATTACATAAATATATAACATTTAGTTTTGTGAACTAACATAGAAACAACCTATAAATACGACTTTATTCAAAAACTTACAATCTAATGATGTTGTATCTTAGTGTAGTTTTTTTTTTCTTCTCCTTTTTGACTTCATTTCATTTTCTAATCTTAAAGTATTTAAGTAAAATATATATATATATATTTTTGAGTAGTTTGCTGTTGATTAGAACTTTTTCAATAAATAAAGTGTAATTTCAAAAGAAAGGAAAAAAATTATACGTATAACTCATAAATTTATCTTTGCCTAGAACAAGAAAAGTAAAAAAAAAGTGTTTATAGAGCGAAAAGAGCAACGTTTCAATGCAATTCGTGTTAATTTTCCATGCAAGAAAGAAAATGAACAAAAAAAAATGCATCAATATACGAAAAATTCACCCACAAAAACAAAAAAAGATAGTAAAAGTAAGACAACAACAACAAAAAAAAAACGTGAAAATGCAAAACAGGTAATTTCTGTGTGGAAATAAATGTAAACTTTCAACAAATTACTAAAAGAAAAAAAAAACATTTAGAGTAGAAAATTGCAAGTAGATTCTTATAACCAAAGTAGTCGTGTGTATAAAAAAGAAGAAAAAAACCCAACAAGCAAGATTTTAAAAGTATCTCTCGTGTATTAAACAAAAAAAATTAATCAATGTGTGTCTGTCGTGTGTCTTTTGAGATTTCAACAACAAAAAAACACCCACAAAAATATTCAAGAAAGTCGATGATATATAAAAAAAAAATTACTCAAGTAATTCGATGTAATTTTATTACAAGATGAGAAGAAAAAAAGGAACAGAAGGATAAAATGAAAGGAATAAGAAAAGATAAATTGTGATATTTTCTTGTAGAATGAAAAAAAAGATCAATTTTAACTAATTTCATCCTTCTTTTCAACCTTCTAATTAATCAATAATTAGACTTTTTTTCTCTCTCGTACTTTTTACTTTAGATTTCTTAATGAAAAAAAATATCTGAGTCATTTTCTTAGACACAAAATGGCGCAAGTAAAAAAAATAGAGGAAAATCACGCAATTTTTCTTCTAATCGCATAAAAAAGTCTGTTTTTTTTTTTAAATAACTAAGAAAGTCAAAATTAATACTTATATTCTCACACACTCTTTATCCATTTTATGGGAATCCCACCTTATCAAAAAAAAACACACACACAAGAAAAGAAAAGGAAAAAAAAACTTCAATATATATATATATATAGAAATTTCACACAGAAATTATGAATGTTTCTTCGTTGAAATGAGACATACATAAACATATGTAGCTGCAAATCTTGTCTTGCATCAAATTGTCTTTTTGTTTTTCTAGAAACAATTCTTATGTAGATTATTTTTCTAGAAAAAGAAAAGTGTGTAAAAATATATATAAAAAAAACAGTCGTAGAAAATTACAATAGAGATGGAAAAAGACAGGAAAAAAAACAACATTTTTCACCACATTTCTCAAATCACAACATTTCTTTTCAAATTTATGATCTTCATATATATATATATATTCGTAATAGAAAAACAGAACACAATTTAATTGTTCCTCTTAGAACAAATTGAATATGAATTAATATGAAAACATGTTTGTGTTTTCTACTATATTTCAACCTAATCTTTCCCTCTCTTTTTTTTCCTATGTTTTGTATTCCCACATTTTCATCTTTTGTTTATTTTTGGTTTCATTTTTTTTCTTACTAAATTAGACTAAGTAGTATTTTCATTATTGTTTGTATTTACTTGATTACTTAATACATACTTAGAAGTTTATATTGGATATAAATTACATAATAATTATAAATATTCTTAGAAAACTTAGTGTAATTTTTGGGCAAGAATGTAACTGGTGTATCATTGTGTGTGTAATACAATTTTTTCGGGAAATTTAAACAGCACCCCTTTTTATTACTCATCCAAAAAAGAAAAAAAAAACAATCAAAATCGAATACGAAGCAAAAGATGGTCTGAGTACTTTAACAGAGTGTTTTTGATATAATCTTTTCCTCTATCATTTCTACATCGTGTATTTTCTAGCTTGAAGACTTTGTGTTTTCTTTTCCTTTCATTGCAATTAACTCAATCACATTTTATTAGAGAATTTGTACAAAAGTTGATTTTGCAAAAGCGAGAAGAAGAGAAGAAGAGAAGCTTGATGTGACGATATTTAACACAGTTGCTGACAAATTAAGCCCGAAAACTCCTTTAACAATGGAACCTTTTCAGAGCGATAAAGCTCCTTTCATTTACTAATCTTTTGTGTTGTGCCAATCAAGGGGGAGATAATACAGTCAGAAGTACTTAAGAAGTGAAAGAATTCAAAAGCTTGCAATCTTCCAATCCGATACTTTCAATTTCCTTCGATTTTCACGCAAAAAAACGCAATTATCTGTTTTTTTAGGTTATGTAACAAATCCAGGGCAGATTTTGTGAATATTTTGCACTCTTAACCATCAATTCTTAGGATAAAGTCGTCAAGATTGCTAATAATTGGCAGAATTAAACATTTTCATGCGATAAACATCGCTATTCTGAACTTTTAATGCCAAGACACACTGCAAATTGTGCTAAACTCGATCATAAGCTCAAAAATAGTCTTTTGGACTTGGAAAATGTTTATTTAGAAAGCTTTTTGGCCGATTTTGCATCTGAATCAGTAATTTTCAGTTCATTATCAAATGATTATTACTTGATTTCTCTTGAATTTTGCGTAGAAACGATCAAAATAATTCTTTTCTAGGTTATGTATCGAATCAAGAGTAGGTTTAGTGAGTAATTTTCATGCTAAAGTTGATGAGATCGCTAGTTATTGACAAAATAAAGCATTTGCTTGCAATTAACAACCTTATTCTGAATTTTTCATGCTAAGAAATACTGAAGATTGGCCTAAGACCGAACATAACCTCAAAAAGAGTCATTTTGACTTGGAAAATGCTCATTTAGAAGGCTTTTTGGACAATTTTAACACTAAAACAGCAGTTTTGAATTCATTGGCAGATCATTTTGCAATCTAAATTGCTTCAAAACTTAGTTTTTAAAGATCTCTTAGGTATATTTTGAGGTTATGGTTGAAAAAGATGGCCAAAAAGCGTTTTTAAACGGATTCTTGCAGAAATATCGGATGGAAATTGATGTGGAAACAGTTTAAAATCTTCGAGTTCCAGAAGTTTAAGATAAATTTGGAAGTGTTTGGAAGTTCTGTACAGATTGAAGGCATATTATTTCCCCCTTGGTGTCAATAGAGAGTTCTCTTAAATTAAAAGTATGGCACAATATAGAATAGAAAAAGATGAAGAAATTGCATAGAAAAGTATTTAGTAACACTTTCTTGTCATTTAGACATTTATTAAACTAAAATTAGTTCTTCTTTCACATTAAGAACATAAAATCTAATGCATATCAAAGTTTGATTTCAACTTTCAATACATTCTAATGCTATTAAAGTACATAGTTTTTTTTTCTTTTCTTAAAATTAAATTTTAGTAGATTGAAAATGCTTTTCTATTTAACTTTTAAAGTTCCATTTTATCATTTGAAAGTTTTCGTCACGGAAAATTTCTCTAAAATTCATTGTTTTATTATTTTATTAGTACAAATAAGGAAGAAAAGTTTTCTTTTTTCGTTGGTGTTTGTAACAAAACTACAAATCTCCACATTAACATTTTGTAAATACATTTGATACATTTTAGATTTTGACGTAATTTGAGATTTTCACGTATGATTTGATAATAAATTTGGGCATTCCTTCTGTAAATATTGATTCACACGTTTTATTGAAAGCTTTCTGCATTTGATTAAAGTTGATTTGAGTAAAAGTTCGAATAGTTTTTCCTTTTTCTGCTATAGTTAATTATAAAACATCTGTTGAGTTCACTGTACATTTTTTTTTAAATTGATATGTTTATTAATTCCGTATGTTGGCTAAAGAAATATTTGGATAGAGAAATTGTGCAAGCATTAATTGCCAAAGGTAAGTTCATTGAGATTTCTTAGACTTCCTCCAAACATAATTGAAGAATTCACAGCGTGTTTCACTCGGATTGATTCATAATCTCTGCCAAACAGTGACTCCACGAATTGTGTTTTGACGGACTGAAGTTCACCAGTCAAGGATCTGATGATAACAGATTTCTTTGGGCCTTAAAAGCCAAGAAATCAGCCTCAAGTTCACCATTTCAACATCAATTGTTGTTCTTGTTTTCAGTACGAAAGTCATGAAATCTGTTCCTCACGGTTTTAAAAGGATTAGAAGGACTTCAGGAAACAATTCCTAATGGATCTTAGAAGCAGAAATGACGGAATTTCTGGAAATAAGAAGTCCTTCTGATTAAATGTCCTTTCTTGCACAGCTGAAAAATCTTCGTACGATCCTAATGGTGAAAACACAGCGTTTTTCTGGCGAAAATTGATCGGATTGATTAAGATTTCGATCGCTGATGAGCAAGAAAATGAATAAAAAGTGGGTTTTCGGTCAAGGAAGCTTGTTTCCGGATAAAATATGAAGATCTACAGAATAATTATCCTAAAGACCCTCCGGATTGATTGAAGCTTCATTAATAAGAACCCGAAACTTATTTAAGTGGCAAGAATTCAAATGTTACTCAAGGAGGATTGATTATTGCAGAGGTTCGCAAGGGGAAAGTCTCAAGGCATTTTTTGAGGAAACTTAATGTTCGCTAATAAAATAATCAATTATTTCAGTAAAATAATCACAAAATGAATATTTTCCCAAGTAAAATTACAAAATAATCAAAATCTGATTTAAATATAAAGAAAAAGTATTATTTTCAATTAATGATTCAGAATATTCACAGTTTATATTCAAATTTTGATGAAAAATTCAGACTTCAATATGTTTCCGGAGCTCCAGATGTGGCTCTATTTAATTTGGAGTCACTGTATGTGCAAAAGTTAATTTTAAACTCGCATTTTCTCGATTGAAACACGCTGGAAAATTGTATCTTCTTTTTTGTATGAAAATCATAGCAGTAAAACCCTCTGATAAACCAATCTAAAGTGTAGATTTAATACGCATATATTTCATTTTATTCTTTTATCTGATGTTTTTTGACTGTCGCAATTTGTAGCAAAAAAAATCCCCCCTAAAAAGGTAGTTTGTCGGTAAAGAAAAAGTGCTGAAATCCATCTAGAGAAATTTGTGCCAAAGAATTTTTGAGAGAAAATAATTTGCTCATGACTAACAAACTTAGAAAAAAATAATAATAATCAATTGTTCCTATATTTACTGTATTATTTCACCCATTATTTAATCCGCCACACATTCATCATCGTCTAGAGATTAGTTTATGTATTAAGAAAATTCATTCCTTCGAAGAAAAAAAAAACTGCTAGTCAAATTTCTTCTACTGTCAACAGATTCAATCATCGCACTTTTGTGAATTAGTGACAAAATACAAACTAATTTAATTAATCATCTCATAAATCTCTTGCGATATTTCTTGTAAATCATTTTAAATTGTCATCAAACTTCATTAAGCGCTGAAAGAAAGTGTAAATTTTTCACTGTCTCATAAATATTTCACGAGAAAAAGAGGGAGAAAGAGAGAGAGAGAGAGACAAGTTGCTCGGAAACTATGTTCTAATGAAATATTTACTAAAAAAAAAACAAATACAAAACAATTTAGAGGTAAGTATTGTAGCTTCATATTTCTTAGATAAATCACTCAATTTATATTTCAATTATACTTAAAGAGATTTATTATCAATCTCAGAAGGTGTGAAGGAAAAAGGGTTCTTGGAACGTTTCTGAATCGCAGAAGAAGAAGAAAAAAGAAGAGAAGAAAAAATGATGACGAGAGGGAAATGAAGATAAAGGAAAACCTAATAATCAAATTGTGATAATTAAGGTCTATTAATCGTATTACCAAATAATCAAACTCAAACTAACTGATTAAGAGTAAAAATTATATATAGTTAATTAGAATATTTTTAATTATCCTCCCTGTGTTCGTCTCTAAATAGATCTTTTCTTCACTTTCAGTTCAAACTGTAAAATTTACTCTTTGACAAATTTGTGTGAAAAGTAAAGATTTTAGTTTAGAGATTTTTTGTCAAAATATTCATTCACACTTGTAGAATTAAAGCGATTACAGACTTGCCGCTTATCCTCGAATCGGCGCGAACTCGGATCAATCCTCCGTGGATGAGCGTGGAATGTGAAAAGGCGAAGATCAGCAATAAGTCGTGGTTGATCTGCGCTTTTACACACTCAAAATATGGATTAGCAATAATTCGTGGCTGAACTCAGAGATTATTCTTCTTTGTCGACACTAGCGACACTGTTCTTTGGTTTGTTCAGCTGTCAGTTGATTTGCGTACGTCAAAAGCGAGAAATTTTACGTTAAAATTGCGAAAATTGATGATTCGCAGAAGAATTTAATGATTTTAATAATCCAGGAAATCAATTCGCAAGAGATCCGCCATTTTGCGCCTTTTCTGAGTCGTGCAATGTTTCGGCGCATTTTCGCACGAGCGCGCTGCCGTCGCGAAGCCCTGAAAAATCGGCTGAACCTTCGATATATCGAGGGATTATTCGCGTTTTCTCCTGGCTAAGCGAACTGTCAGTCACTCGCGCTCTCGTTTATCCTCCCGTGGATCATCAGCAAGTCTGTAATCGCTTTTAGTGTGTATTTTCACTTCTCTCTGTATTAATCCTTGGTAACTTTTGAGAGATAGCAAAAAAAATATGATAAGGAGAAGATTTAGCGTTTAGTTTCGCCTTCTTGCCTTATCTCAATACTATATATACATATATATATATTGTCTGCACTGAGAATTTGTGTTTTTGGAGAAAATTAGACAAAGCAAGGAATTTGAGGATATTTACTAACCAATGTTGGATTCCTTGCAACCCAAAATCCCACCAGCGAGTTCGCTTTTCACCCTCATTTAACATATTTGTCTGTCTGAATATTTATTTAGTGATTATTTAGTAATTATTTCGTGAAACTTTGTGAAAAATAAAAAAAAAACATTTAAATTAAGAGAGATTTATATAAAACATTTGCTGAAATCTAGTCATTTTTCTGTTGTTCAATTAATAATTTTAGATGAGAGTTTTTTTTACACACCATTTAGAAATTATCAATTTTTGAATGTATCTTTTTCTGTTTTTAATTAAAAACATATAAAAGTGAGACATAATATTTAAATAATCTAATTATTACGTATTTTACATTTTAGATTATTATTATTATTATTATTATTAGTGTACAGAAGAATCTATTTATTCACAGAAGAAGAAAAAAACACAGAAGAAGCGTAATTTTTTTCTTATACAAATAAAGTGAGAGAGAAAAAAAAGCAATCAAAAGCGAAGAAAAAAAGGAATAAAGTTTAAACTTTTACCGCTGAGTGATGTTTCATTCCCTTCCACGAGAACCCGAAGGCCTTCACGTGACTCACGGGCCGAAGTTCTGCCATTCCGCGGACAAATTGGCGCATCTGCAGAATCTGCGAGAGAAATTTGCATTCAGAATCAGAGTTTAATCGAAGGAATTCACATCATTTCCGCTCACCATCTTCACACCACTTTTCTTCACACTCACGCACTCGCGAAAGTCTTTGGAGATTTTTCCTCTGGATCTCTTTGCTTCGAATCACTGACTTTCTGCCTGTCTTGCTTTGGCCTTCGCGGAATTCTGTGCATACGTGCCAAAATCCACCCGAAAATATCAGCGGCCAAAAGAGAGCCAAAAGATAACAAGCGAGCTACAAATTTACGTCGCTAAATCCAATGATAACGTATCGATCGATATGGTAATTCGCAGAAAGTGCAGCACTTAGGCAGAAAGAACAATTTCGAGAAAATTAATACATCAAGGTAAGAATAGAAAAATAACTAAACTTAAGCTTAGCTTTCACCGTTTCTTTGGGTCTCAAAATTAAGTTAATTTTCTCAGAGAAGTTTTATTTCCACTGAATATAAAGAAGAGAAATTATTTGCATATAAATTGTGCACCTGAAACCAACTCTGATCAACCCCGGAGACAAATTTACTCTTCTGTTGTAAGATTTTAGTATGAATTTCTTCCTTTTCCTGAAAGGTTTCTTCGAGTGGTTGCTCAAGTGGAATAATGGACGGGAATCAAAAACACAAAAAATACGCGGAATTTTGTTGTAAATATTCCGTTTTTCAGTCGGAATAACAGATTTTCTACTATTATTTGTTTGGGAATCGCATTTTCGCGCCATTTTCCTTCCATTTTCACACATTTCTCTGTGTTTTCCTAAAAACTTTCAAAGTTTTTACAGCATTTAGTATAATTTCAATCACGAGAAATGGACATTAAAGCGTGTAAAAAGAATTTAGGAATAAAATCTTAGTGAAAGAAAAGCAATTCCGGCCATCAAATTGCGTTATTAGAGATAATTCTTGGAGAAATTGAGGAAAAACTGCTGATAAAAAGCTATAAAATGAAGGAAAATGCTGGAAAAAGGCAAGAAAAGTGGCGAAAAAAACGAATTGAAGGAGAATCGAATCCGCGACACTTCAAAATCTTCTCCTAAATTCTCTAATGTGGAAGATTTTCGCTGGAATTTGTGCAAAAATCTTTCTCTCTAAGACGATTTTGCGTACACAATTTCAAATAAGTCTCAAAGGGAAAGAATATTCCGAAGAATGGATGGAATGGATTAAATTTATTGGAATAAATTGTGGAATATTACGGAAATTTGAGGAATAGAATCCACTTTTCTCTCACTTGAGTAACTCTTGGTTAAAAAGAACTTTCAATTAACTTTTAAAAACCTCAATTTTTACCTGATTTTACTACATTTATTGTAGAAATCATTGTCTATTGGATAAATTGTGTAGATTTAATAGAAAATTCCTCCTGAACAATCATTATCAACTTATCAGCTGGCTTTTCTATGCTTCCAATCAAGCATATCAGATTTGACGGCAATCAGAGCATGACAAAAGTGGCAAGAAAAATCAAAATATTTCTATAGTGAATCCAAGAGTGCGTTTTTCTTGAGAATAACTCAAGGTGAAAGTCACTAGGCGATCAAATATTCAAATATCAATTTGTATTTTGTATGGAAAAAATCAAAAAATCAAAATTTGAATTTAAAAATATTCAATAAATGATTATTTTCCAATTAAAATTGCGAAATAATCAAAAATTTGAATATTTTCCAGCAAAATATTTCAATAAATCAAATTATATTCAAATATTTTCGGGATATTTAAAGAAAATTTAAATATTTGATCATTTTTTCCACATATCGCCGCCAGAGGGCAGCAAAGTTGGCGTGGGGGACGCTAAATAATATCGCGCATATTTTATACAAATTTCTCTGTCTTCTCAAAAACATTCTAACATTTTATGATTTCTTGACGTGATCTTGGCCAGGAGAGAAGGAAATTTGAGCGCGAAAATAAATGTTCTGACGTAGAAAAAGTCTAGAAAGGCATGTAGAAGTTTCAATTGTATTTCCCAAAGGCAAATTCAACTCTTTATTTATTGTGTTCGAGTCTAATTTTTGGCCCATTGGCTAATTTTGCCGTTTAAACGCCTCTAAATATTTTATAAACCACTATAAATCCGGTAAAATGAAATTTACAAAGCTGTTGAAGTTAAATATTAGCAATATATTCAACAAGAAATACAATTTTTGATTATATTTTTATTTTGAAGAGTATTAAATGGCATCGAAACCAGTAAGAACTCAGAGTTCTAATCACAGTCTTGAATTTGCCTTTGGAAAATACAATCGGAACTTCTACATGCCATTAAAGCTTAAACTGCTGTCTTTTGGCAGTAATTTGTGAAGAAAATAATCAATAAAATGAAATATTTAAACATTCTTTGACTCAATGGTCTAAATTGCCTCTTGATTTAACTATTGTGACATTTTCATTTCTACTCTGTTAATTTAAAACCTTTCGTTCCGAACTTGGCTGTATTTGGCTTGAAATTCTCCAGACAATCTTTTTGCCTTCTGTTGAGCTTCTTTGCGACGAAATGCTTGTGATTTCATTCAAAATCCGTCTATTTAGCTGAAACTCCTTTCAGGATTTTGCCTTTTCCTTTCTTCATGTTTGGATTAAAATCTGGCCACACTTTCTGCACTCGATCGAATCACTTTTGATCCAGTTTAGCTCGCATCACTTCATTGACTGAGCAAATCATGAGCAATCTTACCACAAAGCGACCATCAAAACTTAGCAGAACGTCGAGAGAAAAAGAAGAAATTGTTTTGGGATTTAAAATGCGGCCAAGTCTTTATTTTGCCAGATTTAAATGTTTCTTCGCTTTTTCTGTGTGTGCAACAATCTCCTAAGTAGATTGTGAAGTCAGCTCTGCTCGTTCATGCGGCTTAAGGGAGAGCTCAATCGATGTCTAGGTAAATTAACCACCGCGAATCAGCATTATTTAGAAGTAATGTAGAACAATTTTCTGTCACAGCTCTTCAAAATTCCTCCTGCGATTCCGCCTCAGACGCTGAAATATTTCAATCAACGGAGAAAATAGCATTAGTTTTACTCACTAATATAATAAGAAACTTTTCTATCATGTGACGAAAGTGTTTCTGTGATCCAAATTGACTAATAAAACTTTTCTCTCTGAATTTGCATATTGTACACAATTATCCAATGAACAACAGATGCCAATTTCTCACCATAATTTCTCAGATCTTGGCTGATATTCTCGAAATGTAAAAACTGTGAGAGTTTTTGGTATTCTTGACGATTAAAGCGTCTCTTATTTCAGAGATTTTTTCTCCAGTGGTTTAAGAATGCCAATAAATATTAACAAATCTTTCCCTCACGACATTAAATAGCAAAAAAAGGTGTATTTAAGTGTTCATTTGCATAATATTTCATAGAAATATTGCACTTTGCGAAGGTTCTTTAACGTAAAAGAAGATAAATAGATAAATCGACGGGTGCCTCGAAAACTATGAAAAGCCAAAAATGCAATTTTTCAGCACAGCAAGTTCAAGATTACGCTTCAATATCGCTGCAAAATTTGCCAAATTTATCTAAAAAAGCCTTCAAATCGTCCGTTAAAGTGCAAATATTGCTCTGAATTTATTATTTTGTAAATATTTTAGTTTATTTTATTGGTATTTATTGGAATTTTTGGCTAAAATATGTCAAAATTAATAGAAAATCTGAAAATATTACTTTCCAAAGTCGATTTTTATTGGTCTTCGAGTCGATTTTATCGGAAATTAGTTTTAAAAAATCAATTTTTCATACTTTTCCTTAGTGTTTTCAAGTGAAATTTTTTTTAAAGATATGAGAAATATTCATTTAAAGTCTAAAAAATATTTTAGAATAATTCTGAACATCTATAATTATTTTCTGAAAAGGTGTTTTATGAGTTTGACTGCAATTTTTGAGACATTTTTCTTGGGGAAAATTGTTCAGCGTAAACAATGAAAATTCGACTTTTCATTCGCAAAATATGACAATTTTTTCCATTTGTGCTTTTTTAAGTGAAAAGGATTTTTTGCTATTTTCTCATAAGATACAAATCTCAAAATTTTTGTACAGGAAGAACAAATAAAAGCTTTTCAAAAATTCATAAGACGAAAACTATGATAAATCGACTTTTGATAGTTTTCCATTCACCCGTCGAAATCTACCGGCCAAATATCCTACGAAATGTCCTCAAATTATCCAATTAAAACACAGGCAACAAATAATTTAAATAAATAGAGAAAAACTTAAAAATACTGATAAGTTCGAGATCATAAGACAGTCGGATTAAACCATTCATATTTCAAACGTTTCAAGTCATTAAAATCCGATCAAAAATCATATAAATTATCTTATGCGAATGGCAGAAAATTTCCTTTTTACGTGAATTTTCATTTAGGATATTCGTTAAATGTGTCTCGCTCCATTGGCGGTCAGAAAATAGTTAAAAAGTGATTAAATAATCGTCTCGATTTATCTGTGATTTTACATTTGAACTAAATTGTGCGATTTGAACAGAATTTAATTCGCGGGCGGCTTTTTATTTAGCTGTTATTTGCATTACAGCTAATATTTATAGCGAATTCCAGTGAATTCTAGCGAAAAATGCCTTTAAAAGCTCGTTCTGAGATTCTTTCATTGCGTTTTCACACTCTTTAGAGTTGTTTTTGGGCCACAAATTTATTTTTGTAATCTAAAAATCCATCCGCAAATGATTATAATTCATAGAAATAGCCAAAGAGTGCTGAAAATCGTCAAGAAAAGTCATATTTCTTCAATAATTGTCACAATATTGCCTTCAATATCTTAAGTTTTCCATAAAAAACACAACAAATATCTCTTATTTGTGATAAAAATACGTAAAAAGTTAATATTATTGACTTTCTTCAGTTTATTCGCGGTCTTTTTTGCGGTTATTTCAAAGTGTGGACTTTGAATCTGAGAGAAATTCCTCAACAAGTTCCACACTTTATTTCTCATGAAGTCAAGAATATCCAATTTTCATATTGAAGAAATGCTCAAATAACTCAATTTCAATCTTGACGGCAAAGTTCGAGAAAAGTATTCATGAACTTTTCCTTTGAAATGAGATGAATTTGTAATAAAGCTTTTAAAGAAGGACACAAAATTGACGTTAAATTATTTTCACCATCTGATAATTTCTGCATTCGTGATTTATCATGAAATCTAGAGATAAACGTGAGTGAATAATGAGAAATTGTGTTTCTAGTGTTCATTTTATCAGAGGTAAATTTTAATGAACTTAACAAGTTTCAGTGGATTTTACGTCACACAAACTATGTATAATTTATTTACATTCTCTCTGAGCTCATTAAAAAGGATTTTGCAACTAAACCACCGTAAATTTAATAAAATAGTCAAACTGAAGTGTCTGAAAGTTCGCCAATTAGAAGAATCTCATGCAGAATGGCGCCTTTTGGCACACTCACCGTGGTAAGCTACACATTTCGCAATTCTGCGTGTCTCCGGGATTGATAAAGGTGCAGTGGCTGCAAGTCCACGACACCGCCGGATCCGCCCCGGCGCCAGCTGCTCCCGGCGCCTGATATTGCTCCGTGCCGCCAGCCGCACTCGAGCTGGCCGCAATCAGAGTCTCCAGCGTCCGCCAAACCTCCTGCGAGCGCCACTCGTCCGCCGCCGCGGCGTCCTTCTGGCTCACCGCCACCCAGAGCGGCGCCATCGCCGCCCTCATCGGCAACATGTCCATCCTGGCCAGGTAGACGAGCAAGTGGAAGTCCGACACGGCGTCCAGGAACTCCTCCGGACGCCACTGTGACAAGTACGAACTGAGCGCCGGGAAGTCCTGCAAGTGTCCGTCCAGGAGGCGATTCTCCACCGGAAACGGCCGCTTGTCGTCTCTCACGGTGAATGTGAAAGTGGGCACAAGTGGTGACGACGCGGGCACATCGACAAGCAGATATTCCACAGGCAGCGGACGCGCCAGGCGAGACACCTCGTTTCCGTACATGTCCTTCTCCTGCAAATGCCAAAAGATGCATTTATTAATTCAAATATCACCACAAACTCTTATCAGTTGATCTTTCCTCCTGATTTACAGACACAATCGCAAGAAGCCTTTCGCATTTACACACCAAAGTCGAGAAATACTACAAAAAGATACCCAAAAATTGGTCGGTTTTGGGTTAATTGAGCTTACATTTGTCGGTCATGCGACTCGATTCCGACCGGAAACTAGAACACACAGTTCGGCTCCGCTCGAACGAAATGCGTCTTTAGAACCATTTTAAACAATGCATTTTCGACAAATGGCAAAGTGCGTAAAATCACAAACTAACATGCGTGTTTGTCTGCATTTTACGCGTGAAATACTTATTAGACTTTTAATCATGCAAATTGAACTGATGATTCATAATGGTGAAAACACAGCATTTTGCTCATATCATCTCAAGTCGATCCCGTCAGATTCCCTTCAGAATTTTGGTCTGCAGATCAACTTTTGGCGCCTTCACACAATCTGATTTTCTCCACAATTATGACTCATTATGGACGAAATCAATAATTTTTTAGTTTTTTCCACACTTAAATTCATTTCCTTGACGATTTTCTCGATTTTACATATGAAATTTGTCTATTTTGACCATTTTGACAGCAAGCGCATTGTCAGACACGTCAAAATCAAATTCAGCGCGGGTTGCCCAACGTAAAATCTGCAACAACTCGACATAAAAATGTCGTGAACAGGAAGGAAAATATACGATTCGCGTGGGGAAGAAAGAGACGTTTGTGAACAAATTACAAATGACAAATGCTGTGTTTTCACCATAAGATTATCTGAGAACTCGATAAATGAATGCCAGAGACTCTAAGAGCGATTACAGACTTGCGGGTTACTCTCGAAACGGCCCGAACTGGGATCAATCCTCGGATCAGCGATAAGTCGTGGTTGATCTGCACCTTTACACACTCAAATGAATGGATCAACCATAATTCATGGCTGATTTGGTGCTCAGAAGTTATTCTTCTTTGTCGACGCTAGCGACGATTTTGCTTCGTGCTCCGTTCTCAGCTCCGAATGGCCAAGGTTCGATTCCCGACGACTGCAAAGATTTTTCAGTCCTCTGGCCAGTACTTTCCTAACCCACTATATCCCTTCTACTCTCAAACTCCCATCCAACAACGCTACTGGTTACAAATATGTATGATGATAAAGGAACTGGAGGAAAACTGAGAGACGAGAAAATTGTTATAAAAATATGTAAAGCAACTGTATAACGCTACTGGTGGTGGCTTATGGCGAACGCCCGTGTCACAAATAAAGCATTCATTCATTCATTCTGTTCTCAGCTGTCAATTTATTTGTTTATTTTATCAAAAAGTGTGAAATTTTACGATAAAATTTCGCGAAAATGGAAGATTTGCGGAAGAATTTAATGATTTTAAGAGCCAAAGAAATCATTCGCAAGAAATCCGCCATTTTGTCCGTTTTGAACTGTCAAATGTTTCGGCGCATTTCCGGCCGAGCGCGCTGCCGTCGGGATCAGTTGCGTTTTATGGTTCAATCAGCTATTAGTCCTGCACACTCGCGCTCTTACTCAGCCTTAGTCTGTAATCCCTCTAAACCATTGCATATTAAGCGCAGTTTTGTGCGATCAAGATGGCGGCGCGTGGTGGCGCTTCATGCGCTTTGAAGACTTCAGCGAACGGCACAGTAAACACGTTTTATGACTGTTATTTCGCAGTCATCTGACCACCAATTAACTGCCACATTTTGCGATCTGATCATCTGGTGTCACTTGGGATGGAGAATTAATTTGCTTTTGCCGTAGATAACATCATGTGTAATTATTACAGCAATATGATGCAACAGAAACATATTACACTTTAGTATGAAATCCAATTATTCTCATCCTCACAGCGACATTCACCATCAACCCAAAGTTGAGCAAAGAAAGCTTCAAACAAGATTATTTATAAGATTTTTACGTTGAAATTTCTCAACAAATAGTCCAAATTTAAACTCTGGAAGAAGAATTCCCACGTGAAAGATAAATAGTTAAGCTTTGGATGTTATCTGGAATTTCTTATCTCGCAACGCTCCTTTCTGGTGTGTTTCCTTTGGCTCATGGGCATTCTTGGTGTAATTCAATATGTGACACATAAGCCATATACAAAATAAATAAATTCATCATCTGTTGACGTCACTGCGCTCCAGTAATGCACAAAGCTCTGCCCTGCTGAGTGCGTGCGTGAGTGTGTGTGTGTGTGTGAAGCACGAGAGAAAGAGAGGAGAAAGCTCTAAAAGCAGGGGCGCTTTTACCAGGCGTCTCCATCTCCGACATTCACACACATATTTTTGTGAAACATAAGAAAACAGCTGGTTCCTCGTATGTTTTGCAACTTTTTCTCAATTCTCTCTCTTCCTCTCTCGCACACTAACAAAAAAAAAAAACATTCAAACTCATTCCCACCAGTGGAAATTCTCCGGGAAAATCTTAAGTAGTTCGATCATTTCTTTCAAGACAGCCTTTTTCATCCGTATTATAGATGTAGAAAAATCTCTAAAGTCAATATAAATATCCTCTTTAAAATATGAAAAGTCGCACGCACCAAATAACATCACGTTCGATGACCGTGAAAATCGATTTGTTGAGCGTGGGAGAAAGTGGGGACGCCTGGTGGTGGTTTCAGTGCTCTTATCCGTATCTCATACACAATTTCCCATCCTTCTTCCTCCTCACACTCCTTCGACACATTGCACAAAATCCTCCCGTTTGCAGAGAATGTCATCAAACCTTTAGCACATAATTCCTCATCATCCCGAAGCAATGCAATAGGAAATAATGCTTGCAAAGCTTCAATTCATTTGCCAAAGCACAACATTGCTCTCATGCTTAACCCAATGTTGCATAATCCGAGTCTTGCTGGAGATTTTGCAGAAAAATACCCAAAGAGAAGATGTGAAATAATTTGAATTTCGTTAAATTATGAACTGAATCAAATACATTCGCCCAAAATCCACACACAAAGCCAAATTCAGCTAACACAACGCATACAGATTAGGAGGGGAAATATGTTGAGAATGGCTTAGTGTTGTGGGAAATCTCCTGTGTGACCTTGAAAATGTAAACAAAAGAGAGTCAAAATAGGCAAAAATACTCTCTCAAAACACACTCTCTCTCTCTGGCTCACTGGCGCTCCAACTCTCTCTCACGTATCACCAGTTGAACACAATCAACTTCCCACTCGTCAATTCGCAACGAAAATTTTATTGAGCTCTCGCTCACATTTGCTGTCTCTCTTCCACCACAGTGTCACAATATTATGTCTCTCTCTCGTTCGGATATTGAGGAAAATCTCACTAATTCTCTCTCTCTCTCACTCACATGGCTTTGCTCCGGGCAGCAAAAAAGCATTACATGCCTCGATATGAGTTTATTGTAGATAGGAGAAATCGTAAAAATCTTTGCGGGATGCACGCATTTAACACAGAAGCCTTATAAACGCTGTCGTTGTAGTCAACAATATATGATTAGCCTTTACTGAGATCCTGACCGAATTACCATCAATTTTTACTATTCACATGCACAAAATACACAATTACTTCATCTAAATATGCTAATAAAAATCTATATTTTATTAGGAGTCAATATTGAAATATGTTTATGAAATAAGGGCTAATCAATCAAAGAGAAACACAAATTAACACACAAAGCTTCGAACATCGTGTATCTAATCGATTTCTCATAAAATCAGTTGAAAATCAGCCGATCTTCAAAATTGACGTTCTTGCAAGAATTAAAGAAAATAAATTTTCCGAAAATGAGTCTCTGCTAAATTACGAAAATCAATAAAAATCCTCCAGCTTTCTCTCTATTAGATAATCTATTGAGCATTAAATAATGTTCTTCAGTTATTTAAAAGCTTCCTTAGTCATTTTTGTTTAGGATTTCACTTAAAAAATAACTGGAAAATTAAAGTTCGAAATGACCCCAAAGTGGGGCAGTTTTGTCCAAAATGCCGCAGAAAATCCTTACGTTCTCCGACTCTGGGATAAAATGGCATTTTGAAGCTCATAATCAAGACAATTCAAAAGACCGAATAGAATTTCCCTCCAACGTTTCATCATTGTGGAAAATGCATGGAATGGTCGATATTAGAATCTTCATACAAAACTACCCCTCTCTCCTCTATCCACAGATTAGCGGCTGTGGCTCAGTCAAATCCCATCACTTGCAAAAGTTTGAACAAAGCAGAGTGCAAAAATGGCAAAAATAGAGTCAGTTAATCGGTTGCTGTTGAATGTTCTAGCTGAATCATACGCTTCACTGGAATTGTCTTGCACTTTGCCTTTATATATAAAGGTGGACGTTAGAACCACTTATGGTTGGCCGAAAAATTGACAATCTGAGTGACATCGTTGCTTGCTGAGCGCTTTAAGGGTTCGCTGAATTTCTTCCCCGCCAACAATCCTCAACAATTCCTGCCTCACAGAGCAGAACCATCGTGAGGGATTGGCTCCGTGCCGCGGATCCTGCACAGTGGCGCTGGCGAGCGGTGTCACCGCTGCGACTTGTTAGAACCGTGTTAAAAGGCAGGATTCAGGGGCTCCGAAAGGTAGACTTGGCCTGCTGAACCCCTCGTTGCCTGACGTTAAGCCCACTCGGAGCCAAACAGCCTCAATGGCTAGGTTCACCAGCGTCTCCCACGCTCTCATGAAGGGACTTTTCCATCGTTTTGTCCTGGGGGTTGGACAACAACACTAAGACGGCGATAGCCGCAAATAAGGCTGTGATAAATGCCCAGCTTCTTTAGAAACAGAGACTGAGGCACTAATTTAGGCGATTGACCTGGAAGCGTTTGGAACGTCACTTAATGAATAACAATATTAATCCACAGATTTAATATTCCTTGAAAATGTACAGCAAATATAGAGAAACAAAGCTCTCTCTCTTCAATCCGATTGATTACAATATAATGTGACACGAGTGTCTCCATCGAGTCTCAATGGTTAAACCTGCCATTCCATACACTCTGTGTCTATTTTCCCATTTCTCTCCTACCTCTCAGCACGAGACTACATTTCAGCCAAAATACCCACAAGAGCAAAAGAGAGACATAGAGAGCATCGTGTACTATATTTATCGCATCGTAGCATGAGCTTTTATGATGACGCATGAATTTGGAAGTCAAGACTCTACTTGTCCCACTCTGTCACACGCATCCAATATGTCCCATGTTGGGGGATTCTCTATACGGAGAATATTCTAAAAGTCTCAATTTGATTGTGTGTAATAGTCCCTCTCCTTCAATTTACTTCACAAGTGACCATGAAACTTGCTTTTGCGCATTGCACACGCCAACATTTTAATGTCTCATTCACACGGTGAACTTTCTGGGGGTTCAAAAAGTTCTTCTGTGTGACCTTCCGAGGGAGCTTTTTGCCCCCCTCTGCTCAGATGGACAGCAAAGCTCTGTGTGTCTCCATAAGGTAGAAAATATCCATGCAAAATTCATATTTCAATGTGAAACAAGCCTCACTTGCGAGTCACACAATCGCACAATCAACTTTCAATGGCTTTCCTCACCCATATTATACTACACAAATAGAAGCTCTGCGGTTCTATTTCTCGCTTTTCAGGCCTATCAACGTGTGTGTGTGTGTGTGTGTTGGCGACCAATACCAGGGCAAATGAAAATTCCACGGTGTACGACAAATATAGGGTTAGGATGTGAGGCAGTGTGAAAAGTCCACGGGCGAAGGGGGGTGAGTGGTGACGTTGTGAGTGAGCGAGAGCAGATGATGGTTCAGAAGTGGGATGGAATGAAAATTGTTGGGAGCTCTTTTGGAGGTTTTCTCTGCGCGCTCAGAGAGTCATCGTCAATCCAGAGTGTTTTGTGTGGAGGAATCATCACAGGAGACCGAAAAAAGCCCTCCACCACATTAAAACATGGCGGCGGTCGATGTCGTACGCGGTGTACAGTTTTTCCGTGTGTTTGCAATGTTAATCCGACTATTTTAGTGTAACAATCGTGCTCGCGATATCCATTTTACCAACAATTGTCGTACCTTTCATAATTTATCAATAGGATACTCCGAATCACATTCGCAGAAAGTAATTTTTGAGGAACTTTCACATCAGTGTGTTGGGGAAATAGAGGAGGTTATTGAAAACGCGCATCATATATTCACGAATTTTCCACCTAAACAACCTCCACAGTTGCAATTAAAGTGTTTCTTTTTGTCACCAAAAAAAGCAGCAGCAAATTCATCAACACATTGAGCATTAACGTACGACGAAATAGAAAATAACACACTTTTGACATTATTTTCAGTGCTTTAGGTGCAAACATCTTGTTCACCAGAGACAAATCAATTCAGAGAAATCACTTTTTTTCTGTCACATGAAAGATTTGTCAGGAATTAGAGAAGAATTCTATACAATTGACAAGTGAAAATTCCGTATTGAAACCCAGCATAAGTTTAACATATTTGCAAATTGCGAAATCTCTCTCTCCCTTCTTATCAACCATTTCGGGATAATTTGCACAGTGTGTGAGTTTGTGTGTTTCTCTCTCTCTCATTTTCCTTAAACTCATACATCTGGAATAAGAATTCTTCTTCTTTTTTTCCTCACATCTCTCCTCAGAGACCCACATTTAGTCAGAACATTCTTCTTTTCACTTTCTCGAGGACAAAAAGTACTCTGCAGAGTAATCATTGTGTGATTGTACAAACACGAAGTTTACGCAGAAGAAACACTTACTCAAGGGAAGAGTGTCAAAGGGGAAATTGAGTTGAAATAGGGAAAATACACTCTATTTTCTCTCCCAAAAAAAAATTGTTTTCTTGTAGTCAAGTGTGTCGAAGTTATACTACGAAATGACATGGTTGACATTGATAGTGCGACATAAGAGAAGTAATAAAATTGTATTCCCCCCAAAAACAGACAAGTTAGTGTGATGAAAAAAATAAACTGCGCCTCTCAAAAAGCCAAATCCAAAAAAGCTCAGTGACAACAAAACGCGAGAAGAAGAAGAGAGGAAGAAACTCTGTGTAGAAACGCAATTGTGTGTGAGTTTGTGTGTGACTGTGTGGGCGCACAGCAAAGTGTTTCGCCTTTTTTTCGGGTGGCATAGAAGCATAGAAGAATCACTGTGAGCAGCTCTACCCCAACACAGAGAGAGAGAGAGAGGGAGAGGGCGAGAGGGTTGATGAGAGAGTGCATGAAGTGCAGGGTGGAAAGTGTCTTGGGCTGCTGGTGCAAAGTGTGTGAGAATTCGCGAGTTGGATATCTGCACGCGTTGAAAGATGTTATGGTCGTCGTGCGTGGATCATCAGCATCAGCAATCAGCACACCAGCAGAGCGTCAGTGACACTTTTTCCGGAGCTTCTCACCCACAAGGGCGGACAAATCCACTCCACGTCGCCCCACCGCCCACGCGACAGCAACAGCTCATCCAGCCCCTCGATCTGGGCACCATTTCTAGGGTAGCTGCAGCCCAATTTTGTCACCGCCACCATCGGTACAACCTACCCCAACGAAATCCACACCCACACCCACAGTTACCATCATCAGCGAGTGTTGATTATGCTGCGATTCCTGTGAATCTGTGATATTTCGTAAACAATCAACGGTACGTATTCCACTCGCCCCCAATACAGTGGCGAAAATTACATTAGGACACCCTTGAAATGTAGACCAATCCTTCCTTCGAGACAATTTCCTCAAGAAAAGAAGGAATTAGAATTTAATGATCTTTCAAATGGCGTTGAAATCATGGCGATATCTCAATTCGGGGCCGTGAGATTGCAAAATGCGGATTAGAACAGCGAAAATTAGGTTAAGACACCCATGAAATGTAGGCCAATCTTCCTTTTGGTGCTAAAAATTCGATATTTCTCTCAATTTCCGAGACAATTTCATTAAGACAAAGAATAATTAGAATGTAATGATCTTTCAAATTGCGTTGAGATCATAAGAAAGTCAAGAACATCGAAAATTCAATTAAGACACTGCAAATTTTCCTCTAAATCCATGTTATAATCATAAAACTGCCTCAGATAACCGCATAAAATCATGAGTTTGGAATGTCTAGAAGACATTTTCATCAAAAAGCGCCTTGATTTGGACTTATCAACTTGCTTTTTGTATGTTTTCAGTTACTTTTTAACGCTTTTCTTCCATTTCTTCCGCAAAACTGCGGCCCAAATCCTGTTCACAGGTTTTCTATGAAGTGTAAAATCCAAGGAGTCCAAGGACAATAATGTAGTCATGAAAATTACAGCATTTTGCTATTTAGAAAGTGTGATTTTAAGTCAATTTCTTATCATAATGTCCAGAAAATCAGTAATTTCTTATTGTATTCAAGGATTCCATAGTGTCATAATTTAATTTTCGCTACTGTATTTCTCTAATCATGTTTTCAATTGAAGAATTCTCAATGTCCCTTAAAATGTCATGTAAATCTTATCACTACAACATGCAAATTAAGTGCATTTGTCCTGAATTCAGCAATGTCCTTAACCACAAAACCCTTTCATATGGAATCACTTTCCATCCACTTCTATAAATCAATTGTGCAACAGCTGAAATAAATTCCACCCTCCCAAAACATATATAGAATTCCCAGAAGTGCAACAGAATGCTTTTAAGAAGATGGACTTTGTATACCAAACACGGTAACATATGGTAAAATATAGTGAGATAACAAACAACCTTCATGATTTTTCCCAACGCAGAAAGAGCGCGCGTTTGAACCTTTAGTTGGGGAGGAAAACTTGCGAGGGAGAAAAAAGGGAGGTTTGAGAGGAGAAAACCCTGGACCATTTTGCTCAATTTGCCCGGATGTAGGAGCTTTTTTTTCCACCCTCAAAGCACTTTCCAGAGCACGCAAACAGAGCGAAATGCTTCTATGTGCAATGCTGGGAGGAAATCCATTGGATATCCTTCACCTAAAATCTCTCAATTTCCTCACGTGGAGGGATTTGACGTGTGTGCGCCGTTGGAAAATGTGTTTACATAGGCGACAATCCATCCAGACATTATATTACACTGACTTGTAGGTCAAGGAATTCCTTCAAACATGCATATTTTGCCCATTGTGAGAATCCAATAATTGACAGAAAAGAAATTCAGGTGTAAAAAATACTTCCCAAAGTGCGTTTTTCGACCAATATTTATAGATTACAACCAACATGTTTAATATTAGATACACACAATCGAACACTTCAAATTATCTCGCACTCTTTTTCCCTCTCTCACTCCCTCTCTCTCTCTCTCTCTCTTCCACACAACCAAAATCCCGAGATGTGTACGCTTGACCTTCACGGTATTTATCACACACTTACACACTGTCAAGCTTTACAAACAATTTCACACTAGAAAAGATCATATCTGTATATTAAGAAACCGCAAGAAAAAAGAAATCATTCGCATTTAATGCTATAAATTATTTGCCAGGAAAAGTTGTCATATTACTCAATACTTTATCAGCATTTCTTCCCAATTACATCATTAAACATTTATGATTCTTCTCTAACCATATTTTAAATATTTGCATTACAATTGTTTTGTATGACAAACTCGTCGTTCTGCTATTTTTTACCTCCTCTTTTTTCCTCCCGCCCAACTTAATCAATTCTGTGTGTGTGTTTCACTCGAGACATTTTGTATAGAATATGAGAGAGGAAAAGCAGAAGAACATAAGAATAAAAGAAAGAAAACGTATACAATGCAATCACTTCAAAGAGTCTCTTTCGCTCCATTTATCGAAAGCTTTTAAAGAACTAACGATGCATTTGCTTAAAGCTCAAACAATCATTCCACTAAATAATCATCACAATTTTGCGCCAAAAGTCATTTGGCACACGTTGTGGTCAAATCTTCCAACTCAATAAATTACAAAAAGAAATTTACCTAATATACAAACTTGACAATTGGCCAGAAAATACACTTCACCGCACGTTGCAACTTTACGTTTTCATAAATTATATTAACAGCCACCAGACAGCGCTAGTGTGAAGTACGAATGAAATACGATCGAGAAGGCGTTGCAAGACAAATTTTGGGTTTATTTAATACGAATTTCATCTGTAAACTACGAGATTTGCTCTTTAAGAGTGTTTTTAGGGCAGAAAATTCCCACTTCCGCCCAGTTTCTGCTCATTTTCCGCCACGAGGAAGTTGGAAAATGTTCTTCAGCGAAAGTGAAGCTTTCGTGTTCCTCCGAAATTAATCTCAAGGAACTTCTAAGAGTTTCCAATGTTTCCAATGCGAAGAATGAATTGAAGAGGGCAAAATAGTGACTATTCCTTTTGATGTACATGAAAATGTGTTGGGAAATCAATTAGTTTCATTGGAAAGGATTGAATGATATCCGGAAACAACATAACCCTAATCTCAGTTAGGAAAATCTAATAAAATATGTGATTATTTCCATAATAACATCATAAATTGTTTATTTCCTTGGTTTTCACGTGAATTTTCCGGCTCTTCTTGTCTTCCAACGTTTCAAGTCTCGCAGAAGATAAATTTCCCACATTAGTAACTGTTATTAATCGTAATCTTGCAACAACTTTTAACGAATTCATATTTATGACAGCTTATTAAAAATGGTATAAACCTTAAGTTGCAACGAACAGTGAGAATGCAAAATGTGTATTTTTTACAAACTTAACACAGATATTAATAAAAAAAAAAAAAGAATCGAGAGAAAGTTACACAATTTCCAGTGATAATAAAAACCTGATAAGGCATATCAGAGAGTTATTCTTCTGCACCGTGTTCTGGAGCACTTTTTTTTTCCCGAAGACAATCAACCTGATAAGACAATGAATATATTGAACGCTTTTGTATCAACAAAAAGCGAGTAAATTGCCAAAAATTTCAACTGCTCGCGGGCGTGAGTTTTTATCAAACAAACCCAGAGTGACGATAAGTCTGATATTGTGGTGCAGTGTTGAAGGTACATGGCATGCCCAGAAGTATTTGGTCTTCGCCATACAAAAAGACCATTTTCTATTTCTAGATGGTAGGAAAAAATTTTGTTGAAATGCGTAAGGACAAAAAATCAATACGATAGAGAGAGAAAGAGAGAGAAACTTGTAAAAGCCAACAAGTAATTTTTTTTCTTCCTTTGTGCTCTGGAGCTTTCTTGTTTCTCCTTAGATTATGTATAAAACATACGTGAAAAATTCCTAATGTATTTTCATGTGGACTAGCCGAGAAGAAAGGACAAGAGCGAGAGAGAGAGAGAGAGAGAGAGCTAGAATAGCACCTCTTTTCTGGCAAATTATCATACAATCCATCAATCTCACACTGTTAAACTCACATTCCAATTTTCGCTCCCCATCATTGACGAATGACGACACCAGCAATCATTCTCCCCCTTTTTTCTCCCTTTCATCGCCAGCCAAGGAGTGTTTCCAACCCCTTAAATGACCAAAAGCACATACGAAAGAGTTCCGCTTGTGATTCATATATGAAAAATTTCGGAAACTAACCTCCCCCCTCGTCCACCCTCGCACAAGGGAGCGTTTTGTAGGCAAAATGCGACAGCACGTCAGTGGAAACAATACAAGTGGGGTAACAAGACACCACTGGCGAGGTCAACTCTGCCCCTATGCGTGCCTCATTGTGAGCTCTGTCTCCACCCACGGCCATCGCCACCCGGCACAATTGGGGGTCGTGGGCCACCCCAGCGCTGGAGATGATTGACCGGGCTGCCAAGGGGAAAATCAATAGTAATTCACCCTCACTTGTGGACAAATTTATAGTGCTCAGATTGCAAGAAATCATCAAAATTCGACTCCAATTAATTGAAATTAATTTCCAATTCAATTTCTGATTAATGCCAAAAAAAATATTCAAATATTTGATTATTCACTCAATATTTTATCAAAATTAAAAAATTAGTGGCAATTTTCAGTACTCAATTCTAGCTTGTGGCAAATTGAGAGACATTTTTTGCTATTTGAATTGAAATTTGTAATTAATATTCTGAAAATATTTAAATATAATAAAATTCGATTATTTTGCAATTTTACTTGGAAAATAATCATTTTTAATTATTTTTCATTAAAAATTTTAATTATTTGCCAGCAAATTTATATATCGACGGGTGAATCGAAAACTATTAAAAAGTCGATTTATCATAGTTTTCGTCTTATGAATTTTAGAAAAGCTTTTATTTCTTCTTTCCGTACAAGAATTTTGAGATTTTTATCTTATGAAGCAATAGTAAAAAATCTTATTTATCTAAAAAGCACAAATGGAAAAAATTGTCATGTTTTCTGAATAAAAAGTTGAATTTTCATTGTTTATGCTGAACAATTTTTCCAAGAAAAATGTCTCAAAAATTGCAGTCAAACTCATAAAACACCTTTTCAGAAAATAATTATAGATGTTCAGAATTATTCTAAAATATTTTTTAGACTTTTAATGAATATTTCTCCTATCTTTAAAATTTTTTTCACTTGAAAACATTAAGGAAATGTATGAAAAATTGATTTTTTCGAACTTATTTGGATAAAATCGACTCGAAGACTATTAAAAATCGACTTTACGAGATTTTCCATTAATTTTGACATATTTTAGTCAAAAATTCCAATAAATACCGATAAAATCAACTAAAATATTTACAAAATAATAAATTCAGAGCAATATTTGCACTTTAACGGACAATTTAAAGGCTTTTTAAGATAAATTTGGCAAATTTTGCAGCGATATTGAAGCGTAATCTTGAACTTGTTGTGCTGCAAAATTGCATTTTTGGCTTTTCATACTTTTCGAGGCACCCGTCGATATATTTATTCAATTTCAATTAGTCATTATTCTCCGTTAACGTGGAAATTCGACATTTTTACACCCCAGAAATTTCATTAAAAGGGTGAAAACTTGCACACTTTCCTCTTGTGCTAACACAGACAACAACCTAATTATCACCATTTCACCCTTGAAAGTACAGCGTTTTCTCACCCTTATCTCAACTGTTTTCTCTTTCCAGATGGAACTTGTCGTGCCACCGGAACTGGAGGAGTTAATTTTGTGCAGTTGCTGCCATTTGCCATTCAACGACACGGACGCCACGCCAAAGTTATTCTCATGCCGTCACCACTTTTGCTTAAAGTGTGTCAATTCGGTGCTCCTCAAGGGTGGCGAACTATATTGCGTCCATTGCTGGAAGCGCACTGAACTTCCGGCGCCCGACATGAAGCCGGAAAATCTCCCCACGTACAATGCTATTCTGTACCTTGCCACGAACCTCAACCTGTTGAACTTCAAGTCAAAACCACCCGACAAGGCCACCCATCAGCACCACACGGCCACCAGTGGCACCATTGGCAACTCCCTGGCGGCCGCGGCGGCCGCGGCGGCGGTCGCCAGCAGTGCCAAGATGAAGAAGGGCGAGAACTGCATGACGCACGCCATGCCAAACGCCCTGTGGTGCCTCAAGTGTCACACACTCGTCTGTCGCGCGTGTGCCGGAAGTGAGGAGCACAGGAATCACACGGTGAAGACGCAGATGGAGGCGAGAGATGCCATCAGGAATGATATTGCCACGGAGTTGCTCAGTATGCAAAAATCCCTCTCCGAAGTGCAACATCTTGTGCTGAAGCAGAGAGATTTCCTCCTCAAAATCCTCGAGGCATGCACATCGCTCAAGACTCAAGTGGAGACGGAACTTATCAATCACTTGCCCACCTTTGAGATCGCAGAGATGCGCGAGAGTCTCGGCAAGGCGAAAATCTACCTGAACATGCTGGAACAGCAAACACCAGCCGACGCGTACAAACTCTATACAACCCTCCACCTTGAGAAGCAGCGCCTACAGTCGAAGCATCAAGAGATGTTTCTGCAGTGCAAATTGGACGATCTCATACGCAACTACGGAGTGTTGTTTGACTTTGAACTGATCAAGCAGGCTCTGGCGTCTCTGCACAGCGGCGAGACATTCAATTCCATCACCATGAACGGCATGGGCCACCACAATCCCATCCTCCTGCTGGCCAACTACTGCATCTCGCAACTCTACTCGCGACACATTCTCACCAACAAACACTCGCAGGCCTTGGCGGCCGCGGCGGCCGCCAGCAACGGCTCAATGTACCACCAAGCGGGAACATCGCAAGTTCTCACGCCGAGTCCCCACGATCCCAGCACGCCGCACGGCAAGGTGTTCGGCGACCTCACGTCGCCCAGCAAGATCACCGCCACCTCCTCACAGTCAGCGCCACTGCCCCCGGGAGCCCCACAGCCGCCGGTCGGCACGGGCAGCTCCTACGGCCACCACTCCGACGCCCTGGTGCCCGTCGCTCAGGGCCCAGCAGCGCCGCAGTCCGCCAACCTGCGGCACTCCACGTACGAGATCAACGGCATCGCCGTGCCCATCTCCATGATGCAGCATCTGCAGCAGCAGAGCAACAGCCAGGCCTCCATCCAGTCGCCCCAGCCACCCATCTGCACCCCCAACGTGCACGTGTACCCCATCTACTTCTTCAACATCGAGATCAACGGCTCACCGTGTGGCCGAATCCTCATCGAGGTGCGCAACGACGTGGCACCGAAGATGGCAAAGAACTTTGGCGCTCTCGCCACAGGTGAGCTTGGCTTCGGCTACAAGGGTTGCCAGATCTTCCAGTGCTGGGAGAATGAGTCCATAATCACGGGGGATTTTGAGCTCAACAATGGGCGCGGTGGGCGTTCGGTGTTCGAAGAGGGCTTCTTCATGCCCGACGACACCAAAATCCTCGCCATTCGCGGCAGTGTCGGCATGAGACGCAGTCAGAAGAGGCATGACAACATGGGTCTGGTTGGATCACAATTTCGCATCATATTGCGCGAAATGCGCGGCTTCACGGGTATTTTTGCATTTGTCGTTGAAGGTTTGGATCTTGTTGAGAAGATAAGTCAAGCAGGAGATTCCGCGGGTAAACCGCAAAGTAACGTTGTGATTGTTAACTGTGGGAAACTACAGTAGGAAAAACGGAATTCGTTTTATTCTATTTAGAAAACAAACAAAAAAAAGGAAGAAAAAGAAAAAGAAATCTAACTTCATTAATTATACACACAAATTTTTTTTTTGGGAACGAATAGTTTTCTTAGTGGTGATTGGAAATGGATGAACTTGTTTGTGGATTGATTGTGGAGTGCTTAAAGTGGGGATTTAAGAAAAAGAGGAAGAAAAAGTATAGAAAAAAGAAGAAAAATTCGCAAATCAAGGGTTGCTCAAGTGAAGAATGGACGAACAACTTCAGCAGGAATATCAAGGAATGGAAAGGAATGGATGAAATTCTTGACAGATTGAAACATAAAAAACTGAAGGAATTCACAGAATTTGTTGTAAATTTTCCCTTTTTTCTGTCAGAATAAAAGATTTTTTGTACTAAAATCGCATTTTCGCGCCATTTTCCTTCCATTTTCACACATTTCTCTATGATTTCCTAAAAACTTTCAAAGTTTTTAGAGCATTTACAACATTTAGAATAATTTCAAGCCCCCAAAATAAAGATTAAAGCTTTGAAAAGAATTTCGGAGTAAAAATTTAGTGAAAGAAAAGCAATTCCGGCCATCAAATTGCGTTATTAGAGACAATTCTTGAGGAAATTGAGGAAAAACTGCTGATAAAAAGCTATAAAATAAAGGAAAAGGCAAGAAAAGTAGCGAAAAAACGAATTGAAGGAGAATCGAAGCCGCGACACTTCAAATCTTGTCCTAAATTCTCTAATGTGGAAGATTTTCGCTGGAATTTGTGCAAAAATCTTTCTCTCTAAGACGATTTCGCGTACACAATTTCAAATAAGTCTCAAAGGGAAAGAATGTACCGAAGAATGGATGGAATGGAAAGGAATAGATCGAATGGAAATGAATATTATGGAAATTTGAAGAATGAAAACCACTTTTCACCCACTTGAGCAACACTTGTCGCAAGTATATATAATAAAAAATAAAATTATCTTAATGAGTAGTGAAAAAAAGAAAAATGTAAATGTGTTTAGGTGATTAGCTTCACGTATTCAAGAGAAAATAAGCAAAAAACAAAAAACAAAAAACGGGACATGAATTTAAATGGAAGGAAAAGACTTCAATTAACACACGATACACACACCGGAAAGGAAAATGTTTATAGAGTATAACATTAGAGGAAAGAAGAGAAAATGTATTAGACAAGATATATTTATATACTGTAAGGAATCTATATATACTAAATTTCGGAAAAATATATCTAAATATTATTCAAAATGTGTATATATATAATTATTTTGTCGATTTACGAAAATTTTATGTGCAAAAGAAGAACCATTTTTGGACCAAAGTCAGAGACTTTGCATTTCTCTATCTCTCTCTGTCACTCTTTCTCTCGTCGTTATTTAATTATTATTATTATTATTAATATTTACTTTTACAACCGCGAAAAAAATGAAGTAAAAATGAAGTACAGTAACTAATAATATACAAAATGATCTTCTTTTAGTTTAGATAGTATGGAAACGCGCTCCCGATATTTATTTTCTTTACAATTTAAATCTAAAGCAATCCAGTGAAACGTTATCGTTGAATCATAAGACAAAAAAAATTATCAATTAAAGAAAAATCAAACTATATGTATGTTGAAAAATTTAAATAAATATTGAGCCAACAATTCAGTCGTTGCAACATTACGGATTTCGTATTTCAGTGTCGTAAAAGCTACCAATTTGCTGTTGCAACTTTACGTTTTACATAGTTCATATTAGCGGCTGTCCGGCGGCGCTAGTGTAAAGAACGACTGAAATACGATCAAGAAGGCGTTGCAAGGCCAATTTTGGGTTTATTTAATACGAATTTCAGCTGTCAGAAAGTCATTTCATTGCCAATTTCTACTAACTAGAATGTCCGGGAAAATGTCTTGAATTTCCGGAAACACATAACCTCAATCTGGTGCATTGAAATGTGCACAAAATGGCGAGAAAAATCCAATAAATATCTGTGTTTTTCTACACAAACACATCATGATTGTCAATTTTCTTCTTCTGAATTGACTTCAGACCTCAACGTTTGTAACGTTTCAAGGTTTCGCAGAAGATAAATTCCCCGTCATTAGTAAATAATCTTGCAATTCGTATTTTTGACATCTTATTTAAAAATGTCATGAAAGTAAAGTTGCAACGACGCCAATATTAGGAAAATTTATCGAAACAGGGTCTAGTAGTCAATCTTCAATATTTTATAGTTTGATCCCCAACTTTATCAACACACAAACAAACACTTCGCAAAACGAACACACAGAACATAGTGAGAAACAAAGATAGGAAATATCGAAATACATTTTCCTACATTTGCTCATAACAAACTTAGTAAAGAGAAAAAAGTCACCTAACTTTCTATATATGCAGAATAATTATTTTTTTTCTAATAAACTTAGTAGGGAGCTTACGGAAATGATAAGTCATGTAGATACGGATATTACCTAACATCGAGGGGAGTCTTAAGGAAAACATAGGTTTTCAACAGGCGCACGAAAAAATGGGATAAAAAAAAGATTTATCGAGCTGATATATAAAAAAAAATGTTTCCACTTTCCATCTCACTTAATTCACAATCTCTAACTCCTTTTTCTTTTGCTTCTTTTAAAAAAGAACAATTGAAAAAACTGAAAAATTGCATGTTTGTATTTACAATGTAGGAACAAATTGCTGTTGTTTAATTTACAAATTAAAGAAAAATCACTTTCACAACAGATATTTGCTCATCATTGTTGTACTTTCTTGTACATTTAATGCACACACCGAGTAGATTGACATTCATGTAAATTTAGCACGTAAAGAAGAAGAAAAGAATGGAAGAATCCGAAAAATTAGGAATATTTGGGAGAAATTCTCAGTCAGATAAGAAATGTTAAAAGTGTGGTAAATTGATTTAACACACGCCTTTGCTATTAAACTGACGGCAAATGTGTTAAATCATTTTCATTCGCCTAAATGAGTAACTTTACCACAATTTCTAGAAGTTGTTTCATTGAATGTGTTAAAAATCAGAATAACAGATAAAAAATCTGCAAATATCTTGCAAAAACGGATCAATCCGCAATTTTAACTCTCATTTTCAGGCTTAAACATGAAAGATATTTGCAATAAATTCTTTTTATCGTGGATTTACTAATTGTTTACTTGGATTTTAGTAATTTAGGCAAATTTCACAATTTTTCCTCTTTTACACACCGTGAAATCGCTTTAAACTCTAAAACACTGTTTTAGCGAGAATAACAAGGGCTGTTTTTCCTTATTCACTTCGAATGTTGAACTTTTACATGTTTTATGCTTAACATTCCTGTGTTTGACTGAGAATTTCTTCATTTATCACTGTAAAAATACAAAATATGTTCGATTTGTTCCACAATAAGTTCACAGAATAGCTGAAAAAACTACATTTTTCTACATTCCACGGCGAAATTTTAATTTTAGTTAATTTTCTAAATTTTTCCTTTCTTTCTTTTTTAGTCTCAAAAATTGCATTGCACGCTTTATCAAGTCGAACACATTTTCTATTGCATCCAAAAGTATTGAATATGAAATAAATTGAGTAAAACTCAATAAAATACAAATGGCTAATATCGATGTTTTCTACAAAATAGAACGTGTAATAAAATATATAAAGAGATAAATAATATTTAAAAGAAGAAAAAAAAAACTCTATCCGTGTCTGTTAATGCCATTCGTACCTGTTAGTAAAGTATGTAAAATATTACATAATAAGGAATCATAACAAGTGAAAAAAGAAGGATTAATTTACAAAATTACTTCCGAAGTAAAACATCGTCAAAAAAAAGCCAGTTATTGTGACGCTAAACATATATGTATAAAAATCTATATAAAGGAAAGGAATATTTTTTGTAATGCTATATTTGAACCAATAGTTATTTATAATAACTTTGATGGAATGGTTGCGATATGAAGTGGAAGATTGAGGATATTTTGTCAATACATACAAGTGGACTTTTGCCACAACACAACAAGTCTGGTCGTACTCAAAGAGTACACTTAATCTTACTGACATCTTTTCATTTGTTCTCTGCATTAAGTAAATAAATAAAAATACAGTTCTATTACTGTTTAGAACTAAGAAGAAATTTAAAAAAAAAACACTGATTTGCAAATATAAAGCTACATTTTTGCATGTCATGAGCTTCATTTTTCTGTTAATATTCTTTGCAAAGAGAAAAAAAAATGAAGAACAAAATGTACTTGAATAAAATGAGAAAAACCTGCAAACAGAAATTTCGAAGAAGAAGAAAAAAAAAGTGTTTGATAAAAGTTCCATTAAAAAAAAGTAGAAATTTCTCTATTAAAATTACGCTTCAAATGCTTTAAATATAGTGTAACAATAATTGTAAAAAAAAACAAGAAAAATTAGTCATAAGAGCAATGAACATTGCAAAAACATATTGTTAATGAATAAATTTAGGTAAATAAAACACATGAAATCATAAAGAAAAAATGTTTGAGAAATTATCAATCATTGTTTGCTGCAAAAATATTTGGAATGTGCGCTTGTAGTTAAAAAAAAAATAAAGAAAATCAATTTTGACCACAATGTGATACACTAAAATTGGGCTTTGCAAAAGAATGTTTAACACAACTTAAGAAAAAAATAAACATCTCATTATATTCTCATCAATTTTTCCTTATTTTCTCTCTCATTTTTCAATGTATTCTCGAAAAAGTTGAGATAAAAAGTATATTTAAAAAAAATATATGGAAGTAAAACCACCGGAAATTAGTGAAATGTAAGTCGAAAAGCAGAAAAAAGTCTTTCTTAGCGGAAAGACAGAAGTATTGAAGAAAAAAAAAACTAATGACATCATTGTAAGCTTAGAATCCTGACAGGTTAAACCTGTTTATCAAATTTGTTAATAGGTTTTTGGAACAATCGAGAAAAATATATAAACGTGTAGAAAGTAAAAAAAAGTGGGTACAAAAAAGCAAATTAGAAGTCAGAGAACAGAATGAACAAATTGCAGCGAGATCTGTTTGGTTACAATTTTCATTGTTAAAAACTATATAGCAAAACATAGCTTGAATAACATGTTATCAATGATTATACGTGAAAACAACTCAAAACTAGTCAGGGAAAATGATGAATTTAATGGTCTTCTGAAGCCAATTCACCGAGTATTCAAGAGAAAAATCTCAGAATATCAATACTTTGCCGTGACACGGATTGATAGCCAAGGAATTTGTGTTTCTCAAACTCCTCCGCGTAATAGTCAAAGAGGTGCTCGAAAATATCAGAAAGAAATTCATGGGTCGTTGCAACATTACGGATTTCGTATTTCAGTTTCGTACAATTTACCAATTTACTGTTGTTATACAAAGTACGAATGAAATGCGAACGAGAAGGCGATGCAAGACAAAGTTGGGAGTTTATTTAATACGAATTTCAACTGTCAAACGCGAAAAATTTATTCAACAGGGTAAAAATAAATGGAATAGAAACTTAGCTTTTGATGTACTTGAATAGATTTTGAAAAAAATCAATTAGTTTCCTTAGAGCGATTACAGATTAGCCGATTATCCACGGGAGGATAAGCGAGAGCGCGAGTACGATTGACAGTTCGCTTAGCCAGAAAACGCGAATAATCCCTCGATATATCGAAGGTTGAGCCGATTTTTTGGGATTCGCGACGGCAGCGCGCTCGTGCGAAAAACAAAATGGCCGAAAGTCTTGAGATTGATTTCCTGGATTATTAAAATCATTAAATTCATCTGCGAATCATCAATTTTCGCAATTTTAACGTAAATTTTGACACTTTTGAAGTCTGCAAATCAACTGACAGCTGAACACACCAAACACAGTGTCGCTAGTGTCGACAAAGAAGAATAACTCCTGAGTGTGTTTAGCGCCAGTTCAGCCACGACTTATCGCTGATCTGACCTTTACACACTCCAAGCTCATCCACAGAGGAATGATCCGAGTTTGCGCCGATTCGAAGATAAGCGGCAAGTCTGTGATCACTCTTAGAAAGGGTCGAAGAATGTTTGGAAACACATAACCTCAATATTGTGCATCATAAAAGCCCAATAAATGTGTGTAAATAATTCCTTGGTTTTCAAGGTGAATTTTCCGGCTCTTCTAGATAAATTCCCCGTCATTAGTAATTAATATGAATCGTAATCTTGCAACACCTTTTTATCATTTCATATTTTTGACTGGCTTATTCAAAATGTGATGAAAGTAAAAGTTGCAACGACTCCTAAAAATCTCCTTTCATGTTTCTGTAAAGCTTCTTTTCCCCTTCCAAAATTTTAAGGATCTTTTTTGGATTTTACCGCTCCCGAAAACAAAAATCGAAATATATCGCAGTTTTGAAAACAAAAAAAACGATGAGAATGAGAGAATGATTCGAGAATATATAAGAACAAAAAAAAACATAGTGAAAAAGTATATATTTTTACAGAACTCGTAACGGTTTAGTGAATGCGAAATGCGATTATATCGAACGGAAAGCGAAAATAAAGATATTTATTAAGAGAGAGAGAGAAAAGAAGAAGAAGAAAAAAATCTAATTCTAAGTTTAAGGCCAGAAACACACGCAAGAATAGAAAAAACGGCGGGAAATTTGAGGAGTTTTCAACAAAAAAAAAGAACTTGAGAAGGAGGAAAAAACCAATAAAAAATAAAATGATTATTAATGTTAGAAACAAGTAAACAAAATATATATATTTAAATTGATGTCAAGTGTTTGTCAAGTAGATAAAAAAGAGAAATAGTCAAAAAAAAGACATGCAAAAATCGTTGTAATCAATGTAATAACACTACAGAAAAAATAAGGAAGAAGAAAAAACATCAAATTATTGAGTAAATAAATATTCGTTTATCATGAAATATCGAAAGAAAATTGTGTAAACCAAAAAAGATAAAAATAAAAAATAATATGCTTTTAAGTGTGTAACAGAAGAATATTATAATAATTGTCTCTTCTTGTAAAATCTTAAAAGCATAATATGTATGAAAAGGGAATCTCTTAAGAAATATATCACAAAATCTCATCATATGCAAGAAGGAGGGAGAAAAAAAACTAGAGAAAAGCGCAATTTTCTCCTTTCTATCGTTTCTTATTTCGACGGTTGAATCGAAAACTATCGAAAAGTCGACTATTCATTGTTTACGTTGTACATTTTCTTTCTAAGAAAATTGTCTCAAATTGTATTCAAACGTATAAAAAGCTTATTTGGAAAAAAATCATAAATTTTCAGAATTTTCCCTCAATTTTCTTAGACTTCGACTGAATATTTCTAATATTTTTAAATTTTTTCACTTAATTAATTAATCAAAAAAAACATGTAAAGTATAAAAAGTTGATTTTAAAGAACTTTTCTGGATAAAATGTACTCAAAGACTATTAAAAATTGACTTTGGAAAGTAATATTTTAAGTTTTTCTATGTTTCTATCCAAATTTTCAATAAATACCAATAAGATTTATTAAAATAATTCAGAAAATAATTATTAGAAGGTGTTTTGCGAGATTTGTTGTGAATTCGGTAAATTTCTCAGCGATATTAATGCTAAATTCTAAATTTTCTCTTCTAATTTTTCTCTTCAAAAACTATTAAAAGTCAAAATCACAATTTTTCAGCAGAGCAATTTTGAAATTTAGCGTTAAAACAGCTGCAAAATTTGCCAAATTTATCTTAAAAAGCCTTCAAATCGTCCGTTAAAGGGCAAATATTGCTCTGAATTTATTATTTTGTAAATATTTCAGTTGATTTTATCAGTATTTATTGGAGTTTTTGACTAAAATATGGCAAAAATAATAGAAATTTTCCAAATATTCCTTCCCAAAGTCGATTTTTAATAGTTTTTGAGTCAATTTTATTCAAAAAGTTCTGAAAAATCAACTTTTCATACATGTTTTCAAGTGAAAAAATTGAAAAAGTACAAGAAATATTCATTCAAAGTCTAAAAAAACATTTTAGGATAATTCTGAAAATCTACAAAAATTTTCTTCATAAAATATTTATGCGTTTAACTGCAATTTTTGAGACATTTTCAAGACAAACTATTATAAATCGACTTTTTAATACTTTTTCAATTCACCCGTCGATTTGTTTATTTTCCGTAATACAAAATATAATAATAATAATAATAAAAATATGTCGAAGCAACATATTTAATGATACCGAAGAAAAAAACATCTTTACTTAACCAACAAAAAAGAAAGAAGGAAAAATACAATTCGTGGCTCACAATTATTGATATAAACCTTTTCTGTATATAATAGTGCATTAGATATATATGAAATCAATGAGACAGAATGGAAAAGTACCTCAAGAATGTATAAAGAAAACACTTTTGATCAGTTTACAAACGCTATTGAGAGGACAAAGACGATGTTAAGACGATGAGAAATCTATTTTTTCGCTAAAGAAAAAAAAATAGAAGTAAAGCCACAGAGAGATTGAAGGGAAACTCTTTCTCTCTGTCTGGCAAGGATATCAGATTTTCGTTAAAGGTATTACTTTCACTCTTCAAGTCGAACATTAAATTGTTGAAACATTAAATTGTGAGAAGAATGTAAAACCCCACCAAAGAACGGCCAATTCTACTACATTTTCCTATCAAACCTGCAAAAACTTCCCCTAAAACAACCTTGTCAATAACCAAAAACAACCCTACATATACATATATATATTGTAAGTAATGTAATCAAATTGAGCAGAGGCATTAATGTAATAAAATCCTATCGACCAAAGTGAAAAGTTTTCAAACACAGCAAATTCATTATATAATTAAAGCTCAATTTGTCAGAGTTTAATGAGTTGAAAACACCAAAAAGAAAATTCCAGTGAAATCGCATTTTGAATCACATAGAAAATCAAATTTTCTTCACTTCCCCAAAAAAACTCCCAGAAAAAGAGAAGAAAAAAATCACTAAACTGCAACAAAGGCTCGATCTAATCTGAATTACCAAGTGAAACATAACATAGAGTATAAATAAGAAATGTGTAATAAAGTAGAATCGTATCTCGTATGTAGTTTGATGATTGTATGTTTCAAATGCAGCAAAAAAAAAACATCCATGAAGAAAATGTAAATCAATAAAAATGAACGTGGATAGAAAGTGTGTGTTTTTTTCCACTCACCTTGTAGTAAACGTCCGGGACGAATTCCTTGTCGGTGGACTCCTTGATGTAGCCAAGCTCCGGAGCGTCCTTCGTCGGGACGAGACAATTGTCCCTCACGAGAGCCATGCACTGCGCCGACACCGCGTATCCCTCCATGTGCACCTGATTCTTCTCGTCTCCTGCAATTTTCCCCCAATTAGACACAGTTTGCAAATGGGCTAAAGTCACCCAGCGAGCCAAAAAGCTTTAAAAAGCAGCTAATTTAGCTGAAAAGTGCTAAAATTTTAGCTAAAGTATTGAATTGGAACCAATCAGCGATCGCAACGGACGATGGAAGATACTTAATAGAGTTAAAGAACACAGCATAATATTTAGCTAATTCTTTCGCGTCACTCAGCTAATTTTTCATCAATTTTCTTAGAAATCTCGCCGAATTTTTCTGCTTGTTTCCTCTAAATATTGTGCTAAACTTTTTGCTTTTTTCTCATAAGAAGTTAGCAGGAAAACAAGGAAGTCAAACTTCTATGAATTTCCCTTCATTCGGTTTTCCGTGCCATATAGAAATGTCTTTGTGCCATTTTTACGCCTGCATTAGCTCAATTCCCGCGGCACAAACATTGCGAATGCTTCTCCTGACACCCGACTAGAGGCGCTAGTGAGCAAAAGAACTGTCAAAATTATTCAGAAGCATTCAGAAAAAGCTTTGTTTCTGGTCTTTTCGATTGAAAATTGCTCAAAAACGGTGTTCAAAACACGGTTTAGGCAGAAAATGCATTTTTTACGGATTTCGACAATACATATTGTGTAGAATATTCACGATTATTAAATTATATTCAAATTTTGATTAAATATTCAGGGAATAATAAAAAAAATTATAGAATTTCTATGAAAGAATCAAAATTTGAATAGAAATCAAGAAAATATTGAATTTTTTGTATGAAAAAACAACAAATTGAATAAAAATCACGAAAAAATCAAGAAATTACTGAATTTTGTATTAAATAATCAAAATCTGAATAAGAATCACGAAAAAATCAAGAAATAATTGAAATTTGTATTTAAAAATCAAAATTTTAATAAAAATCACGAAAAAAATCAAGTAATGATTGAAATTTGTAAGAAATAATAATAATAAAGTTTGCCATTTATAAAGTGAAAATTTAAAAAATTAAATTTGAATAAAAATCACGAAAAAATCGCGAAATTATTGAATAATCACAAAATTAATGGTCACAAATCGCGAGTTTCCTCTTGCATGATAATATTTATACAATTCACTTGTAATTCGACTGTTTGACGCTACGATCTCTAATGTTCGTACAAAATGGCTGAGATCTTAGCAGAAGAAAGCTGAAAAATCAGCTCTTTAGACCTCAATTTTGACATTTTAGCATTTTGTGCTCGCTGGGATAAATTGAACGTCAAAGAAAACTCACCAGTTACGCAAACTGTGACGAATTTCGATCCAAAAGTGCCATTTGTGGCATGTTTGCACGCATTTGGGTGCTCATTTTGGAAATGTCCAGCCAAAATGCACTCGTGCGCCGTGAGGAAGTGCGTGTCGATGCCACGATTGTGCTTCACTGTGCCCGACGCCACATTTTCACTCATCAAATCCGTGAAGATCCAGCCGACCTTGCGCAAGCCCAGCGCGGCCGCGATCTCGTCCACGTCCGTCTTGTACTCGTCGTCCAGCAGACGAATGGAGTCGCGGCTGCTCTCCTGCGGCGGCTCATAGATCGCCGCCACGCGCGCACGAATGCCCAGCGGCACGTCGGCATTCACTTCGTACGTGCCGTAGAGGAATCCCATGCGCTGGTGGCCGGAGAAGCGCCAGTAGTTGAGGAAGCGCTCCACCAGAGCCGGATTCTCAAACATAACATTGTCCACGTGTCTGTACACTTGGCGATTGAGCGTGATCGCCGATGGCTGGCACTTGGAGCAGATCCCCTTCGGCCACGGCGGATGATCTCGACAGCCGCTCTTGATGCGACAATTGATGTCCTCCAGAGCCACGAATTTGCCACGATCGGCTCCGGACGTCAGCTTCCGGATGTAGGAGTGGAAGGAGAGATGCTTGATCTTGTGCTCCTTCAAGTAGTTCTCATTCCACGGCTCCAGCGGAGAGCAATGGACGCAGCAGCCGTTGGAATTGTGACGGCATCTGTGGAGACAAGAAGTTGAATTTCAATTTCAATTCTCAATTGAAATTTCTGCCAACTCTCTTACAAATTCACCAAAGAAAACAAGCTAAGAACGACGGATTAATGAGAGAAAAGAAGAAACACGGCTGGTATTCTCGAAATGTAAAAACTGGGCGAGTTGGCATTGAGCTGGCGCGTGAATTCGATTGATTAATCCAAGTTTCTGGCAAAAATGTCAATAAATATTAACCAATTTTGCTATAAAAAATTAATTTTAATCTTATTAATAAATTAAATAGTAATAAAAGACATATTTAAGTGTATAATTCGCAATATTTCATATAAATATTGCGCTTTGCGGGTGTTCTTTAGCGCGTGAAGAAGATAGAAAGGCAAAATGCACCGACCAAATATCCCACGAAATATCAGCAAAAACTATTCAATTAAAACACAACTAACAAATAATTAAAATAAGTAATGAGAGGGCTAAAAATTCCAAGAAGACCGAGACAAAACAATATCAAGATATCTTATGCCAATGACAAGAGATTGTCCTCAAAATGTGGTCAAAAACCAATCAAAATACTTTTAACTAAGGAGAAGGAAATTCCCTGATATTCCGTGATATTTCTAACGTTTCCTCGCCCTGTGACACATTACTATTTTCATTTTATCGTGAGCTGTGCACAGTAATATATCAACGGATGCCCTGAAGACTATCAAAAGTCAAAATCGTCATTTTTCAATAGAGCGATTAGAAGTTTGAAATTTGACTAATTCTTCTTAAAACTCTCTGTTATCTTCCAGTAAATTGATAATATTGCTCTAATCTAGTTTTATGCAATATTTCCCAGATTATTTCACTGTTATTTATTGAAATATTAACTAAAATACAGAGAATTGATAGATAAGTTGGAAAAATTTGGTACAATAACACGATTTTTATAGTCTTTGATTCACCCGTCGATGTTTCCAGCATATTGAGCTCAAATATAATCTAAAAATCCATCCGCAAATGATTATAATTCATAGAAATAGCCAAAGAGTGCTGAAAATCGTCAAGAAAAGCCTTATTTCTTCAGAAATTGTCATAATAATGCCGTGAATATCTTAAGTTTTTCATGAAAACACACCAAATATCTCTTATTTGTGATAAAAAAACGTAAAAAGTTAATATTATTGACTTTCTTCAGTTTATTCGCGGCTTTTTTGCGATCTTTTCAAAGTGTGGGCTTTGAATTTGAGAGAAATTCCACAACAATCTCCCTCAAAAATGGCAATTTCGAGAATACCAGCCCAGCAGCATAAGAAATTACTTCATCATTGAGAAGAACAGTGAAATAAGGACAGTTTGTGCTCTTTCGATTGAGGCAAAGTGTCCAATTCTGGAGAGATTTTCATTCAGAAGACGAAAAGCTTGAGAAGAATTTGAAGGATCGCCTTCAACATTGATCTGAAGGTTCAAGACAGCAAAGAAATTGCGATCAAGCGCGGAGGAAATGTCATGATTGACCTTATGCAGCCAAACTGATAGTCAGAGAGGAAATGACACTCAATTCTTAGGCATTTTCCAAGCCTTTCGACTTACAATTTGCTGTCTCTGGATCTCTGAATCCAGCCGTCAACTTTGCAGAGCTGCAAATCCACTTCGTCCTCCTTCACGCTGCCGTTGACCTTTGCCGAGGCGTCCGAGTTCACGGTGGTTGTCGATGAGGATCTCGTCACGGAGAAGGAGTGATTGTTGCCGCCACTCGATCCGGAAGTGTCCTTCGAGGAGGACGAAGCCAAGTTGTCAGACAGCAGCTTCATGAAGATCATGTCGCCGTGCTTCAGCTGACAGTCGGTGAGTTTCTGAGATCGACTCGAAGTCAACTGTGGCAAGAGAAGAAGCAGAAAAAGACGTTAAAATGCTGTCCGGAAGGCGATTTGCCAGCCAAACACAAACCTCTTGTTTGAAGCCTCTTTCCTTGAACAGGACGAAATCGTAGTTATTGAGCTCGAACACTGTAAAAACTGTCTCGTACAGGCGACGAACAGTAGCCTCCGGACTGATTTCCACTCTCTTGGTGCCTTCCGGACACTGAACTCGTAAGATCTGGGCGAAAAGGGCAAAAATAGTTCATCAGCAAAAAAAAAACGCCACAAAGCGAATCGAGGTTATGTTCACTGGCTTGTGGAGAAAATGGGAAAAATATCATCATTTTCACACTCATCATCACATTCGCACATCCAGAAAGCTTCGCAGCATGGAAAATTATGAGGTTTTTTGCAAAAAACACAGCAAAAATGACTCAGAAGCTCTTCTAGCAGAGAGAATGCATCCCGATGACAAACACAATTTTTCCATTATACTTTTCTCCACTCTTTCACAGCTTTTCACTTACAATTTTGGTGTTTTGAGACATTTTTGTATATCTAGAATAATTCACATATGAAAGTATAAAGATATTTTCTATAGTTTCTGCGTATTTCACTGATAAATTCGCAGACAAAAATTACCACTACAAGTTGACAAATTTCACTTTTCTCTCTCTCGCTCTTTATGGCAACTTTCTGACATTCGCCAAGCAGCGCTCTCTTGTGCCATAAAAATCTCTCTTTTGAATTGAGCTTTGGCAACGGACTTTCAACTGTGTCAAATCCACTGGGGTTAAAAATCCCCCTCAAGAAGCTGAAAATGTTTTCTTACGAAGGTTTTAATAAACAGTAGCGCAAAATTAGATTAGGACACCTATGAAATTTTGGCCATTTTTCCTTTTGGTGCTAAAATTTCAATATTTCTGTCAAATTTCTAGAGAATTTCATTAAGACAAAAAATAATGAGAATTTAATGATCTTTCAAATGCCGTTGAAATCATGGTGATATCTCAATTCGCAGTCGAGATATTGCAAAATGCAGAGAAATGTGCGTAAAAGGACAGCGAAAATTAAGTTAAGACGTTGCTTATTTTGCTCTAAATTCATGTAATTAACATGAAAATGACTCGGATAATCACATTAACTCATGAGTTTGGAGTGTCTAGAAAACATTTTCATCAAAAAGCGCCTTGATTTGGACTTGAGCCCAAGTCAATCGTCCAAGAACAATCAAGTAGCCGTGAAGATTACAGAATTTTGCTCTTTAGAAAAGGTGATTTTATGAGAAATGTTAAGTATTTTTCAACCAGGAGAACTTTAATTTCACGCCTTTTCTACATTTTTCTTCTTTTCTAATACGAATTCTTGCATTTTTGCATAATTTAGAAGCTCTGTTTTTGCCTGAAAATAGTCTCAATTGAAAGACGATGGTTTAATTAGATTTGACCCACTAAATAGACTCGTGAAATTGCGAATAAATTAGAGAAAAAATCCATCTGGCACCCCAAATATTGCAGATTTCTAACACTTCCAGGATTTTTGTGCACTTTCTGAGACTTCCAGTGCTTAAAATATGCATTTTATTATTTTTCTTTTCCGTTTTTCAATACTTCAACCGCTCAAAATATCATAACCTTCAATTTAGGAGAAATTGTTGTAAAAAAAACTCAAGTTTTATTCGAATGGTTATGAAAAAACTTACAGAGAAACAGTTTTTAAGAAATATTTGAAGTTTCCAGCGGATATTTTGATGTGATTAAATGGTTAATCGCTCTTTTAGATGCACTTTGGAACAAAACCTTTAAATTAACTGGTGATATCTAAAAGAATCCTTGAAAAAAAGTTATTCGTGTAGTAAAATCAGGCGCAACAATTGAAAACTTACCGATTTTAGAGTCGAAAATCAATCAAAAAGCTCTTAAAATATACAATTTTGTATCCTAAAACCAGTATTTTACAGATTATAATCAATCTTAACGTAATTAACACAGTTTAATAGGTTTACATTTGATCGCAGACACTTAACTTTGCAAAAGAATATAAATTATTCAAACTTGAGTGCATAAAATGTTGTTTTCCGATGTTATTTAGTCATTAAATTTTATCTTAAAGTCAGTTCATAACCTACAAAGGCAATGAAATTTTTATTACAGAAAATAATATAAGAATTCTCAAAATATTGCGGTTATTTGCTTGGAAAACAGCTATTAAATGTCTAATATTGCAAATATTCAAGGACTTTCATTTCAAAACACTTCTGCTTTAGCTGTACACCACTTCTGACCATAATATCTTCGCCTTGGGAGAAAGTGTGAAGTGAAGAAGGGTTAAAACGCCAGAGAATGAGAAGAGAATCGGCAATCCGTTGGAGCTCTTTCGCAGTAAATTCCATCAAAAATTCATAGTGTGTTAAGTTCCTAATGCAACTCAATTTCTAGTAAATTCTCTGCAAAAATCTCTTTCAATTTCAATTCAAAAAAAAATCAAGAGAAAGGCATTTTCATGCGGATAACATGAATATAAATGTTTACAGTGAAACTGAGAGCTAATAAATCCATCCTTTATTCTCCGTATCGAAGGTAAGTGACACCTTGAATGCCTTGTATACTTTCCTCGTTTAAGGACATGAATTTTCGCTAATCTTCTCTGCTTTCTTCCACCTAAATTTATGGGAAAATACACTTGACGAGTGAGAAAATGGCCCAATGTTTGGATAATTGAATGACGTTTATTGTCTTCGCCCCAAAAGAGGGTGTGAGGCGTCGTCAGATGAATATAAACAGTAATTATGCAAAATTAATAAACTTCGATGGAGAGTTTGAAGAAAATGATGGAAATATTGGGGGAGGAAAAGTTTCAAATCCACCCACATTTCAGCGTGCAAGATTCAAATCTCGACGGAAAATCACAGCTTCAACGGGGTTAATTGGATTTTGTCGAGGGTTGCTCAAGTGAAGAATGGACGAATCACTTCAGCAGGAATATCAAGGAATGGAAAGGAATGGATAAAATTCTTGACAGAATATAACATTAAAAAACTGAAGAAATACGCAGAATATGTTGTAAATATTCCGTTTTCCAGTCGGAATACGAATTTTTCTACTATACTCGTTTGGAAAACTATTAATATTGAATTTTCACGCCATTTTCCTTCCATTTTCACACATTGACACAGTCTCTATGACTTTTTCTTATAACTTTCAAAGTTTTTTTTTAGTATTTACAACATTTAGAATAGTTTCAAAGCCCAGAAAAAGCATTAAAAGCGGTTAAAAGGAATTTAGGAGTGAAAGAAAAGCAATTCTGGGCATCAGATTGGGTTTTTGGAAATCATTCTTGGAGAAATTGAGGGAAAAATGCTGATAAAAAGCTATAAAATTAAGGAAAATACACGAAAAAGGCAAGAAAAGTAGCGAAAAATATCACAACTGAAGGAGAATCGAACCCGCGACACTTCACGATTTTGAGCTAAATTCTTTTAAAAGGAAGATTTGCGCTGGAATTTCTACATAAACTTTCTAACTAGACGATTTCGAAAACAGAATTTCGAATTATTTTTGGAGGAAAAGAATATTTCTGAAGAATGGATTGGAATGGAAAGGAATTGAGGAATGGAAACCACTTTTCTCCCCACTTGAGTAACCCTTGGAATTTTGAGAGCTTTCGCAAATCGTGAGAAAAGGACTTTGACGTGTATATAAAACGGAATTTATATCACTCAAAAGCAGGGCGTCTTTCTTTTGGCGGGAGGAGTGAGAAAAATTTCACCAACATTGAAGCTCAAATGCAAATGTAAGGATTCGTCCTAATTGATAATGGCACCCAATTTAAATCATAACGCCTTCCATGCCATCAGGAGAAAATTAAATAACTCGCGAATCAGTTGATTTATTGGATGCCAGAGATGAAGTTTGCGCAGAAGCGCTGGAGTGTGAAGAAGAGGGCACAATTTGAACAGGAAAAAGGTAGATCAGTCCTGCTTCGCAGCAGAACAACACGGAACATCGAGGAAAAGCTCCTCGAATTCAGTCTCGAGCCGCTTGCTGACTCGCGTGGATGTTCCGCTTTCCAATTGCCACCCACCGGACGCCCAAAAGACGCGAAAATTAGTCTCTCGAGTGTCGCGATTGCGAACGGTTCACTGGAGTTTATCGTCTTCATCAAACCACGGATAAAACCGCTTCGTCTTTGCAAATTCTCCTTCCAAAATTCCCCAGTGATTAAAGTGCTTTTTCAGGGACATTTTTCACACACAAACATTAAAAAGGAGAAGAATTTGTAAGTGTAAATAATTACAAAATGAATTTTTCACTCTTTTCGCACTGTTTGCATGTGACAAAATCCGACAAAATCCCTCGAAACGCTTCAGTGAAATACTTGGACGCATGGTGGAAGAGATAATTCACGAATTAGTCCTTTTTGCCAGGCCAATTCACAAGAGATTTATTCCTCGTGGCGACCAAAATCACTCCATCATCAAATTCCTCTTTTTCCACCGAAATTTCCCACACACTCAGCATGCAAAAGATCAAACAAATCCTTTAATCTTCAAGGAAGATTAAACGAGAGAAGTTGATAGAAATCATGAAAATGTGACTCACGTTGAGATTTTCTCAATTATATAAAAATATATCACGTAATTTTCATAATTTACACATTTATTAATAACCGAGAAAAGCCATAATAAACTTCAACACGTAAAGTGCTCAAAGTTGTAATTTTGGGGTGTAGAAAAATGGCGAAAATTACATTTTAATATGTTAAGCGTGAATTCTTAAGCGATTAAAGTGTGATAATATTATTATTAAGTATTTCAAAGGAGAAAATCAACCAGCAAATGAGGTGGATTTATTAAGAAAAACAGCATTTATGTCAGTGATTCGCCTTATTTCAGTACTCAACGCCCTTAATTTCTAATATTTCACCATCAGCCCTACTTTTAAATCATTTTTAATATCGAAGGGTGAAGAGAAAACTGCGAAATTTTCTGAAATTGACCCCAAAAAGCTTCTAATCGTTCATTAAAGTGTTAATATTGCTCTGTAATAATAGTTTTATGAAGTTTTTCAGTTGATTTTATTGATATTTATTAGAATAGTTAAAAAATACCAAATATTCTCATTCATAATTTATAAACTTGTTAAAAAAAAATCATGCAATTAATTCGGGAATTTCCAGATTGATTCAATTCGTCTTAGAAAATATTTTGTTTGTCAAAAAAAATGTTAATAATTATAAATAAATTAGTGAAAAAGAACTACAGAAAAAGGCTTTCTTCGTTTCATTCTTAATGTTCGCATTCATGATAAAAACTCCCGCTAAATAATTTTTCCACGCCTGAATTAATCAATTTTTCAATTGAACCCTTCGTAACATTCTCTTTGACGCTTTAATATCCATCCTTGGGTTTTGAATCCTTTTCTAAGAACTCTTTTTAACTTGCTTTTTAAAGCCCAAAAAGTAATTTTTCACCTTGTTTTCTACTAGATTCGCTTGGGAAACTGCTAATATCGCATTTTCGCGTCCTTTTCCTTTCTGTTTTCACACTTTTGCACACTTATTGACTTCCTGGCGTGATCCTGATCAGGAAAGAGAGGAATTTGAGCGCGAAAATAAACTATCTGCACTATTTCTACTAGCCTTTCTAACTA